AAATGTGACAATCCTATAGTGGCTACTAGAAGGCAATAATACGTTGATGGAAGTCGGCACTTAACAGATGAAAATGTGAACTAGTCGTTAAACGGTCTGAAAATCGTGACTAACTTGTTGTAGACCACCTCGGTGCTACCTCGGAGGTGCTGCGTATCCCTTGTTTTTTGAGGGGATTTTTTCTGTAGGCATATTAGCGTATGCCCTAAAGCCGGTTCTGAGAGCGTCCAGCTCCTCATTTGTGGCTTTTAGTGCACTTGGGTTTTTGACTGAATCAGGGCTCTCCTGAATTAAATCAAGTGGGTACAAATCCCCGGTGGAGTGCTATAGACTCAGCAGTCCCGTAAGCCTTATGCGTCACACGGGTGGAATGTGTTGTGCGTGGTTGTTGAGCAGCTTCATCGTTTTTACAGAAGCAACGGTATCCAGCCATGACACTATTTCTATAGAAAAGGTTACCGTGGTTATCAGTGAGTCATAAGTAAAATAGACATTCCATGGGGACAACCTACGAAGCTATGCTAACAGTCTAAAGTTGCTATCTCTATAGCTGCCGTATTCAGCATCCCGTTAAATTAGTCTTCTTTGTTCTGAGTGCTGAGATGGGTAGACAACAGAATACCATTTTGTGATCACCAGTGGAAAACTGACTGCCAGCATAATCAATTACTGGAGTGATGTCATACCAAAATAATCAGTCCAACATATTGTCACCGCGAGTGGGTGCGTGGACCCACTGGTTTCGTCTATAAACATCTATGATAGCAAGTATCTGGCTGAACCGCTGAGAACCACATCCGACTACACGGCCGGCTTTGGGGGGATTGAGGTCTCCATCTAGCAATTCAAAGTCCATACCATATGAGGAAGCATGGACCAGTGATTTGGACAGAAACGTATCGGCTTCCGCTATCGAGGGTGGCGCTTGATATACATGGCCTACAACCGTTTCTTGTTTGTCACCACTCAAGGTGGATAGCAGTGAGTTGAGCACCCCATTTTATATGTTCTTTCAGCCTTATTCGCTGCAACTTGATCACACGCATCAAAGAAACGGCAGCCGCCACACCTAGGATCTCAACTAGTATGCCCGAGAGTGTTTACATCTATGCACAACCCTGCGTTTAGGATGCTAGATGAGTACTATGGTTTAGTTATCAGCAATATCGTCGGTTTAGTGACTGGGGTTGTTACTCTACGGGGGAACGTTTCCTTGATGTGAAAGTGTGAACAGGTTTCTGTGGCTGACGAACCTTCCTACGATGTCAGCTATATCTAACTATTGATATTCATTTGCACGTGCTGCGTCTATGTATGGCATGTAGACTGTGTTGCAAACCAGTTGAGACTCCCTTTTGGTTCCCAATGAATGGTGAAAGGATGAGTTCACGACATTTAAGCAAGCCGAATGGGGAGTTCATATATCAGCAACTCTTTGGTCCCCAATGATATCGCATTTCGAAGTATTTTGTTGGTGGGTGCAAGTTTCGGCAATTCCACTTTTGTGTGGATGTGGCATAAGATGGTCGCGAATACCATGAGCAGTACGCTGCATGTTGCAACCCAAAATGTCAAGCGACCCAGATGTGTCAGCGGGTTTAACAGACGGAGTAATATGTCTAGCCTTAAATAAACGGTTATGTGGGCTGCGGTGAGCTGCCGTGCTCTGACTGGAAGGCATCAGTAGTACTGCTTTAGTCCTAATGCTCGCAGTAGCAAATTGCAGCATTCTGTGGCCCATATATTTGCCGAGGCTATGTGTAGTAGCATAACGCCCACCACTAGTAGGTGGGTAATGACCAGATGTATGAGCTACAAGTTTTTGTTCAATGGAAAAGTTTTATATGCCTTGGTAGTACATCAAAACCTTTCTGAAAATGAAGTATTCTCTGCCACTATCTGACGAAATGAGCATAAAATTTTTGTCCATGGTCCCTATTACTTTTTAATGCCGCGGTTGTGCCTGGAGGCTTTCTGAGGTCGTTTGTCCCTCAAGAGCTAGTTAACTGCGCTCTTACTAGAGTGGCTTACCTTGGTAGCTAGATTCTCTGGCTCCCCCAAGTTAACCAGAGAGCCGTTTATCATATGATACCGATGCGTTGCACACGATGTTCGCTATCAAGTGATCCTACCACGCATCCAACTGCCCGTGAAATTGCAGGTAGAAGACTTAATCGTTCTTGACAGGGCGTCCTAATTCGCATAACAGTAACTCATTGAAAATTGCAATAAGCCCCAACGTCGCTCTACGGCTTAATAAACTTCTTCACGTGAAGCGGTTACGCTGGTGATCAGTGTATTGAAAGTAATCCCTCTGGCATCTAAACAGCAGGGCCAGAAAACGTCCACGTTGCTTTTGGAGAGGTGTCCTGAAGCACTTGTTCTTGCCAAGACCATCGAGAGGTGACACCCCGTCTTTCAAAAGGATCGCTTGAACCCTATAGGCAACCTCAACTCAAGGTTCACAGCGTCTTTGAACCATAACCCCTGAAGATAGGTCCGAACCTCCTTGAGAAGGCTGTGGATGATGCGTTTAGGTCTCCGCAAAACGATGCGATGCTAAGCCCTTCTACTTCTGGGTACCGCAAGATATGTACTGACTCGAAAACGCCGTAAAAGGTACTAAGCAATTCAAGCCACCCGAAAATGGGAATATTACTCGAGTATGACCAAGGGTATCCTCGTGGAAAATCAAAAAGTATCCTACATCAAAGGGGAGAAGGCTTCTCTGTGGTCACATTGACTTGTTTTTGAGTCTACGACCACCGTGGAACAGCATCTATTAAGGTAGTGACCATGAAATTTGTTGATAGCTCCAGAAAAAGGACGAAAATCCCAGCGGCACATTAAATGCTGTAATCCAGTTATGATGTAGATAAAGTCACAGTAATTGATCAGGATTGCATTAGATGAGCACTCTTTTAATGCTTTTCACGCCATTGCCACCATTATAATGGATTCCATCATATCATTTACCCCTTAGCTGGACTTCTTGCCCCTCCATTCGCCGTTTCATTGATAATCTCACTTCATTTCAAATATATCTGCCACAGAATTTCCTGTCCCCCCCCACCCATCTTACCCTACGATTTAACCCTATTCACCCAAATTCTACATGACTGTCTTATTTATCGTCTCCCATGAATCCACCTAGATTCAGCCCCCCACTTCGATGTCCCCCTTATCTGTCTTCACATCTTACTCCCATTCGTTTTCTTTCTTTTACAACCTTTAGGATTTGTCCTGGTGCGAACTTGACAGACGCAAAGACCAATCACTAATTATTCGAACTTGTTATATACCCACGAATACGAGACCAAGGAAGAACACGATAGCGTAGTCGGATGGAATAGTATATTTGGGTGGTTATGCCAAAATACCGATGCGTTCCAACTAACTGGCTAGAGAGTCGAATACGAGCAATGCAACGTAACACGACAGCGTGCCAAATGGCCAGGATGCTTGACCGGATGCCTTCAGCTTAGCGAGTCCAGTTAAACTATCAAGGTCAGCATCAATGTCGAAGTCGTCAAACCCTAGGCTATTGATTTTGGGGAATCCTGGCGCTCTGTTTTGTCACAGATAGAATATACGTTGGAGACGGGTCTGCTGGATATCTCCAGTATTTTATCTGCTGAAGCTGCCAGGTCGTCGAGTGGGACTGACTGGAGTGTCACCAACACGGTTTGCACCGGTTGTGGTAGTTTCGAGAGAAATAGTTCTCGGAAGAAACCATCGTCAAATGTTCGTGCACCGATTACTTCTCGCATGCGTGCGAGGACTTCAGTAGCTGAGTGGCTGCCTAGCTCGATGTTACGAAGCAATTCGTCTAGACGTTGGCGATCTGTGAGATCGCCTTTCTTCAAGAGTGCAGCCTTTAGAAGTGCATAAGGGTCACTTACTTCAGGATTAAACATGTTTGCTGTAACAAACCTGTTTAATTCTCGCGGTAGTGAACGTATGACAGCGAGAAATCGAGAATGAGGATCTGAGACACCCTGTTCTCGAAAATCGGCCTCGGCATACAGAAACCATGTTTCTGCATTGTCTGGCCAATATGGCACGAGTTGGATCGTGTTCGAGGTCGGCTTAATACGAATAAGCTTGGGAGTTTGGTCGGACATGAGAAAGTGTAGTAAATGGATATATAAATGTTATCGAAATGAAAACAATAAACAAATATAAAATGGAACAGGCTCACCAATTCAATACTTGCTATTGTCGGGATATGTGATCACGTCGGGATATTTGATCACGTCGGGATATTTGATCACGTCGGGCTCACCAATTTAGGATTTGTCCTGGTGCGAACTTGACAGACGCAAAGACCAATCACTAATTATTCGAACTTGTTATATACCCACGAATACGAGACCAAGGAAGAACACGATAGCGTAGTCGGATGGAATAGTATATTTGGGTGGTTATGCCAAAATACCGATGCGTTCCAACTAACTGGCTAGAGAGTCGAATACGAGCAATGCAACGTAACACGACAGCGTGCCAAATGGCCAGGATGCTTGACCGGATGCCTTCAGCTTAGCGAGTCCAGTTAAACTATCAAGGTCAGCATCAATGTCGAAGTCGTCAAACCCTAGGCTATTGATTTTGGGGAAGTGTATGACGCTACAAACCCATGGAAACAGCTGACCCACCATACAACACATTTGAAACTCTTATACTCTCAGCAGAAATAACTAATGCCACTAAAAAGTGAACCCATACACAGCCGCTCAAAGTTCTTCGATAGTTTCAAACCGTTGTTAACAGTACAGAAGAAGTTTCCGTTTAGCCTGCTTCCACGTCCAGAGCTGGTGTAGATAACAGGTTGAATCCACTGCATTAGATTACTTTTTAGGATATAAAATCGTTCTACAAGACCTAAAATAATGCTATGCGCAATCACACAGCTTACAAAAACTCGCAAAATAGGCATTTAGAGTAATGAAATTGTACATCGCCAGTGGTTGAAGCGCCTAATTAGGTTTGTGCGTTACTAGAACATTTATTATTCGGAATTACATGTAAGTAGTTATTTGGAAGTAAGCATTTCAGTTATTAATTTTTGGCCTGATGTATACACGTTTACTGTATGAATGGAATGTGTGAAAAAAAATCTAGTGAAAAGTTTGCTGAAATAACTATATGGGAGCAGCTGAAATTGAATGTGTATTTTTGTACAAGGAAAATTTCTCAGCGTTTCTTTTGGTTTCTAGCTATAGTAGCATAACTTTTGTGCTCAAAGTTTTTGAATTCGTTTTTGGACAATTTTGCATTGTGTTTGTGCGCTTTATTATTAATGTTTTTACAATAATACAAAGTAAGTTGTATTAAGTTAGACTGTGTCCAATTCTTAAATATTCACAAATGACTTTGCCTCATCTTTCCTTGCAGTTGACTGCTGTAGTCTATGCACTACTCCAGTCTAGGGTATAGACTAACTTCTAGGCTTCTTTTACGGTTTGCTTCAGTTCTTTTTAAATCTCGATAGTCTGGTATACGGTACTGTTTGCCCTCTGCGTAAGTTATATACCTTTGGATGTATAAAGTTGGCTCACAAGAGGGTGATGAGTAGTCTGTCTTGTCGTTATTTTTACTCATCCGTTACTAACCGACACATTAGCTGATTTCGTCACCACCTTATCAAAATTCCTTTACTTCTACGTGTTTTTATTCACTCTAAAATAAAGCGTGTTCCTGCCTGATTAAGCTGTAAGCTGAGTAAGTAAATCTACCTAAATTTGTGTTCGATGGCTAGTTCTCGTGTTATTACAGGTGTTGAGGCTTCGTCTGCCCTACTCGACCCCAGTTGACAGCCACCTATGCACTGTTCAACTGAGTGGCACAGTGAGGACTACAAAGAATAGTGAAACATGCCACTGTCTCTTTGTAATCTTTGCTCACACAGTCACTGACTTTAGTTCAGACAAAGCTAAGGACGAGCTCTACTTCGAACTGTCTAGCCTCCTACTGAGAGCCAAACGTTCAGACGTAGTTGTTGTAGGTGGTTCCAATACATAGGTGGGTAGGCTAATTTAGGCAGAAAGGTACTTAGGTAGCATTTTCGGGATCCCAGCAGGACACATAGATTGTGGCAATCACCTGCTACAACTGTGTTCGGATAACCATTTATTTCTGGCCTTCACAAACTTCAGACAAAGAAAGACATTGTCTGATATGGCATCCACCGAGCTAAACTCAGCGGTGGACACAGATAGGTATCATTATTATCAGTCATCGCTGAAGAGGGTCCGTGCAATAATCCCACTCCTTCTGAATTACGCGTCTGAACAGTCATCATAAATGTCTGTTCGTGCATTGTTCAAATTTGTCAAGGGAACTAAATACATGACATCACACATAGGTTACCGTACATTTATGGCTGTGCTCACATGCAAGTAAAAAGTCTATATTAATAAGACCGTTTTAAGCGCTATTTGACGGTGAGAATTTTAATGCTGCTGTCAAAAAGGATAAAGACAAACACTCAGCACAGGACAGCGCCATCTGCCCGAAAGTAGCCTGGCGCCATCTCCAGTCTGCTGTAGCTGACTCAGAAAGCGGTTAGAGAGTGGAGTGGATATCAACAGCTTCTTCTGAACTAATGGATCTATGCAAACGCATCTCTTCAGGCTCCGCTTTGAATGAGAAGCTGAAGCAACTCGAATGTAAACTTATAGAGTTTACACAACCGTGGTCAGTTGTGGGCAGCTAAGGCTAAGAAGATGGAAAAGGCAGCGGCGATAGGTAACAGTAGACAGTTATTTAGCCTTGTCAAGAAAACTGGGAAGAGAAGTTCAATTGTTATTGAGGCTATAGCGGAGAAGGATGTGTCTTCTATCCACTTGCAGAGAAGACAGCTGCAACAATGGGCGGAACACTTCGACGAACAGTTCGACTGGCCTTCAGCTACTGTTTTATTGCCCGCTATCCAATTGGAGCCTGAATGAAACATCGAGTTAAGGCCCCCAAAACTTACAGAACCTAAAACATTCGTTAGTAATGCAAAGGGAGGAAGTGCAGGAGGCTAGATGGAGTAGTATTAGTGGTATTTATGGACAATGGTTCAGGGATTTTAGTCAAGTTAATTGAAGTGTTAACTAGTGTATGGAAGTCAGACATAGTCCCTTCTGACTGACCTCAATCACTGATTGTCCCAGTCTTCAAAAAAGTTAAAATTCCTATTGTAATGACGACGGATGAATCAGCCTGATGAACAATTTCTCAAACTCTAGGTCGTAAAATTATCAGGCGGCTGAGTGAAGCTTGAGAACAGCAAACCCGAGGAAATCAGGTAAGCTTCAGACCTGGCCCTTCATTAGGTTTTGAAACACTGACACATCAACGCCCGACACTATATGTATTTTTCAACATGAAGGTGGCATCCATCGGTCGAGGGGTGTTATAGCATTGTCTCTCACTGAAACGGGTGCCCAGAAAGTACCCAGCTTTGTTGAAGGCCCTATGCTTGGACACGTATGGGCGTGTTACAGCCTATGATGAGTTATGCACATCAAGTGGTGTTGGTTGAGCATATCCACCCTCTCCATTGTTATTCCCTTTTATCATATATACAATTATGGTGGTCTCCCTCCGGTCGTCTGACTTCAAAGGGATTCATCTTGTCGCAGGACATTTCTTGGTAGATCTAGGGTACGCAGATGATGCAGTTTCGTTAGGTGGAAACACTGACAAGACCTAGTTTTCTGGATACCTTGAGTGGCGATTTCAGAATGTTAGGGATGTGTTTTTCATCATTCAAATGAGTACTGTTGCTCCAGGAATGGTCTTCAGTGGTACCTTTTTAAAAAATAGGGAGTGAAGTCATTGAGCGTGTTGACCACTTCACTTGAAAAGTCAGTGGCCAATGAAATCTCTGCACGCATACAAAAGGCTTGATTGGCTTTTGCCAACTTACGCCGTCTGTGGTGCGGCCGCAATATCCGGTTGCCTATTAAGGATCGAGTGTACTATGCTGCAGTTTGTTTTGTTCTACTGTATGACTGTGAGACCTGGATACTTTTATATCTTCTCTTCACCAACTGTTATATATTTCTAACGGACATAATACGCACGCCTAACTGACAGCTAACTTCGCACGCAAGAGCCACTGACTGCAACCCGGGACGAATCGAGAAGAAGACCGAAGCTGGATAGGAGAGTTTATTCCTATGAGAATATAATAACCAATCAGTCCCAAAAGACATGAATATGTATACACATGAAATGTGACCTTGTCTGCGATTTGAGACATTTGCATAGTAAGAGTAATGGTTAACCAGTCAGAGAATTAAATTACAAGAGGCGAAAAACAAACTACTAGTCATACTGTAAAAATGGTATGAGGATGACAAGTTAAAATGTTCAGGTCAATAACAATGTTTTATGCAAACTGGGGCCTTACAGCACCTCCCATTTTTGAAAGAATTAATGTCTTCGCTTTTTGGGATCCAATTGGAAATGAACTGTTTGAGACCGCTTCCGATCTGTACATCTGGGTTGAGGCTCCTCGTCGACATTGGTTTCAGGTTTTTCCATTGTAGTTGGTAAGTTAAACTTATCCAGTTGAATATCGAGGGGTATGGTTGGATTCACTGGTTGGTTGCTTTTTCTGTGACGCATCTGATTCTTGTGTCTCTCCCATTTCTCCTGACGCACCATTATATCATACATCACACTCCAACGTCTTCCCATGACAACACCTTCCGTCCACATACCATGTCCTTTTCTGTAATCTCGTACGTAGACAAAGTCCAACCGTTTGCGCTGTTTGTGTACAATGTGGTGGTAGCATTGCGTGGTGTGGTGTACGTAGCTTCCTTCTCATTAGAACTTCTGCAGGAGATTTGTGATCTTGTAGGGCATCATTTGGCGTTGAGCGATAGATGAAAAGAAAGTGTTGTATGACATCCGTGTCTCCTCCTCCTCCTCCTCTTTCTGCTTTAAGCAGAGCTCGTTTAAAGGTATCAACAAATTTTTCTGCCTGGCCATTGGATTGCGGATGGTACGGTGATGTACGAATATGATGAATCGCATTTATACCGCAAAACTCAGCAAGCTCCCGGGAGGTGAATCGTGACCCAGTATCTGAAGCAATGGTCTCGGGAAACCCATGGCAGATGAAAATATTTTTAGGAGGAGCGATTGTTCGGCGTGATGATACGGGTGATACTGCTGCGACCTCTGGCCACTTGGGATAAGCACCAACAACAATCAGATAGTAGGTTCCATGTAATGGACCTGCGAAATCGATGTGGATTCTAGACCAAGGTCGATCTGGCAATGGCCAACTCTTTGGTGGAGGACGTGGAGGATTATTAGCTGCCTTCTGACATGCTGCGCAGCGACTGACAAACTCAGCTATATCAGGGTCCATATTGAGCTAGTAAACATAGCTCCTGCCGATGGCTTTCATACGTTCTATTCCTGGATGATCAGTATGAAACTGTTCTAGGAGTTTCGCACAAAGAGACTGAGGGATCACTATGCGTTCTCCAAACATGAGGCAGTTGCCGACGATACAAAGGGATTCTCTTCTGTAGAACAATTGTTTCAAGCCACCGGTAAACGATTTTGGTGGCCATTCCGTCTGGACATAATGCGTTACTTTCTGTATAATATGATCCTTGCAGGATTCATTTTCCACTTAAGCTGACGTGATAGGAAGTGCGCAGACGGCACAATCCAGTAGGTTAACTGCATAATCTTTTGTGGATACTAAGGTCTCTGTGTCTTCGTTTGGTGTAGGAACATCTTACGCTGCTCCCACTTTGCTGCAGACCATATTCAATGGAAGGTCGGCGAGTTTCAAACCCTCGAGCCAGTCGAGACCCAATAGGTTGAAATTAGCATGCGTGATATGGCTAACTCCATCAAAAGTAGTATTTCGAAATGAAACATAGCAGTGTAATTGACCAACCAATTGAAGCTTACCAGCACATGCGGTGATAGCTTGTCCCATTGTCAACATTTTTGGCTGACCAAGATTGGACCATATTTTCAGGAAAATCACTGTGATATCAGACGCTGTATCTAGCTGGATAAACGCAGGTTGACCATTTATGTTGAGCGTTACATACTTCTGCTGTACTGGGCTACTGATATGAAAAGTTGCGGTGATGCTGAGGGATCTTGGTGTAGATCGACATCGAGATAAGCTTCTTTTCCCTTTAGTTGAACTTGGCTGACGGTAAAACCCATCTTTATGCCCCACTGTATGACATTAGTGACACTTATGTCTGAAAGGGTACGATTTTACATAGTGCCAAGCTCCACAATCCCAAATGCTGATGGTGGTTTTCTCTGAGTGCTATTTGTAGGATGGCGTGCTTCGTTACCTGATGTCGATCTGGGTGTAGATACTGGGTGTTTTATAGCATGCATTTCTGTCGCTTTCTGGCCGCTAGTCTGTATAAGGGTGGTATCTTTACGTACATTGGTTAATCTCTGATGTTAATTTTGTCAGTCAGTCATTCAGTCACTTGCCTACATCGAACTGGACAAATCTATTGTATTTCAAATATTGCCCTATCCATGTAGGTTTATATGTAGACATCGCTTTGTAGATCGATTCTGCTGTTGATCAATATGTTAAAGAAAATAAGCAGTCATCCTCCTCTTTACATTTGTCAAGGATATACTGTTCTGTGCTTCATTCAGTTCGTTTAGAATTGAGTTGGAGTAACTTGAATTGTCACACATAATTAAGATATTACCGACATAATTTCGATATGAGTTTTTTCCAGTTAGGTCCAAAGCTACTTTTTCCGCATGCAACATAAATATATCTACTAGAAGGGGACCTAAGAGAATTTCTCTTTTCGATACCATCGATCTAACAAGAATATTCACTTTGGAGGTTTATGGGAATTGGTTGGTTTCGAGGTGGTATTCATCACAGTCTGGTGTCGGTTTGAGAACTGTTGGAAACCAGAGAGCACTTGACTGCCGTTTTATCCTAGTATCGGACTCTTCAGCAATCCATACTCACGACCCCGTGATCAATGCCACCTTGAAATCAGTCAGTCTCTAAAAACCTCCAAAGTGAACTAGTGTCCAGTGCTCATTGTTGACATTCTTCTTGTAATCGAACCCAGTAATTCCACTAGCCGTCTGGGAAACTTGTGTGTCGGTAACCTGTGCATTGATATTATAGGAAGTAAAGGATTGTTGGTTTATGTTCTGTGGGCAAACTATAAAGATGAAGGAATCACAATCTACTTGGTTTCAGAGAGTCAAATTTTCCGTTGGAAATAATGTTCATATCAAGAAGTTTCACTAAGTTAGCGGTTCCTATTCCCTGTAACAATTGTACATCTTCTGTAGGGTTGTTTCTAACAAAGTTGTTTTTAGCTTCGAGAAGAGTCAATATTTTTGATTTTTATTCAACTTAATTCATGGTTAAATCACTCGAACCTTTGTCACGTCTATTAATAAGGATATTGGGGTTACGTTTTAGTTTTTGCATTGCTCTGAAATGTTCAGGAGCTAGAATGCTTTTTGGCCGCATATAGCGATTGCAAAACTGGTACACCGTGTCCACCATCGTAGCCTTCTAAAAGAAGTTGGAACAGGGAGTTTCAGTTAGAGATTTTAGAACTGTGCTTGGGTAGCCAAATCTGATGACTTCATATGATAAGTACAAACTTTAAGGTTTTAGTTATGATACTTGTAATTTCCCGTTGCTATACATGGCCGAATGGCTTGACTGTTGGCAGATGGACTCCTATGTAGATGCCTCGATACTGCTAAGCATTCATGATGTTATATTGATCTTGGTAACAAGTATCATAACAACAGTTGATACCCGTTGCAAAAACGGTGGCTATCGTGCCCAGTGGCTTAGTGGATAATGCTATGGCGTTTAAAGTGAATGGTACTGGGTCCGAGCCTCTGGGGGAACAACACTCACTGGGGTGCAGGCAGATCCAGCTGATGAGTCCCAAATTAGGTGAAACCCGTTCTAGATTCCTTTGCCAGTCACCGAAATCAGTGTAACCTTAGGGTTATAGTTTTATTTGGTGTGACACTCCTAAACTTTAATTATACCGGTTTGAGAATTGTTTCATCGCGGAAGGTAACATCGCTTATCGTCATGAAGCGCTACACCATCTACAGTCTGCTATAAAAACTGGTAAATACTGCTACTGACTCCCTTGTTGTCTTGTGACTTAACATGATAACATGAAAAATTTAACCATTATGCAATAATGCGAAATCGTTTGTTAATACTAGTTAACTTGTTTTAAACTTTTATCTTTAAGAAAGATTCTCGGATCCAGTAGTATTTTAAATTTTTACTGAACAGGCTGTCTACAGACATGGTCCTCAGTGCAGACGTAGGCATGTTATGCATTGAATTTATTTACATCATATAATTTTGCTATAGTCGAAGCCCATGTTAAAAAGCGTCTAGATTTCTGGTTTACAAATTCACCATTTCTACACATTCTATTAGCTTAAAATGAATGCTTGTTTCAGTGTTTCTAAAGTTATTATTCACTAACGTGTGTTAATAATTTTTCTTCAGAAAAATCTGAAAAGTTAACTGAGGTGTTGTAATTATTTTAACCTAGGTTCCATTTTGTTGTGTCATTTTTAGTTTTTTTTCAAGCTGTTGTCTGATCCGGATAATTCCTTCAGACTTATTCGCCGCTTCAGTCTGGAGGGTGCAAATAAAACACTCGCTTCTTTTCCTGTTGAAGTGCCGAGTAATCGTCCATCCACACCATCTATAACCGTTCTCGATGTCTACGATATAGCGGCTTCAATTGGAAAAGAATTCGAGGCTATCATAGATAAATATGGGCCCTATTCAGTGTCCAATTTGATGCCCAAGGTGATAAGTGTTCTTGAGGAATTAGAAGACTTTGCAACAAGATTCGAATCAGAAGGAAGGGAAATAATAACTCTTCAGACTGCTGTACATCGTTTAGAACTTGAGAAATTAGACCGGAAAGAAGATCAAAATAGACATAAAAAGGTAGGTATGCATATCTTTTTACTCTTTAGAATCTATAAATAAATAAATAAGCAGTCGTTTCAAAAATTTCCTAAGTTATGAGGAAAATGATTATTATATTTGTGCATCACTGGCTTGTCACTTCTTGTGACTGGATCTGGATGTCCTGCATTCAAAGTAGTTTACAATATATCTGATTACTTTAGTTATGAATCCACGTTATAGGAATGGATATTCTGTACTTTACAACCATGTTTCACGAAAACATTTCCTCTTTACCTTCAAATTTTAGTGCTGGGCTTTACTGACTGTAACTAAAATTGATACTGTTTCAACTCAACTTTCAGTTCATGTTTTCAAATTCATTTGATTTTACTCCAGCTGAATCAATGCGAAAAGCAGCACTACTGCATAATGGTCAATGATGCCATAACTCATATCATTATAGCAATATAGGAGGTACCAAGATGAAAACAGAGAAACAATGAAGAGTAGTAAGGTCTTTAGAACAATTAGTTCCCTTCATAAGGTCGTAAAACATTAGGGAACAAAAAAATGACGAGTCCAGGCATAGCAATTAAAATGAAGATAGCGTGTGAATGCATTTACACCACTGAGCATTTAGGTAATCTCAATAGTTCTTATACAGCAGGTATGCATTGTAGCTTCTTACGAAAATATGTGAAAAGTTGCTGACTTACAGTTTTCACTTGTATGTTATTTCTTGGCTACATAGCTTGCACTCTAATATATTTTCTTGAGGTTCTGAATTGGTTAAACTGTAGCATTTCTTATTTCATGTCACCAGTTTGTTTAATTAAGGTGGTCTTATTATTGAACTTACATGTTTACATGAGTAGATTTTGCAGTTCCAGGAAAATTTCAAATTCATGTTTAAATTAATTTAAAAGTAGTTTCTGGTTGAATTATAGCTGTAACCGTCAAACCTCTAATTTCTGTTTTTTGCCATCAACATAGCCAAAAAATCGAATGGGAAATTTATTCTGATCATTGGCGCTAGCCCCAAAGGAATTCTGAATTACTCAACGTAAAGGTGATGAGTCCAGCTTATAGTACTAGGTGCCAGATATGGCCTTATCGTGGTGATCAAAGTGGCTCATCAAAACAATTCGTTGGGTGAAACACTTATTCCTTGAAGTCGCATGGTTAGAGGAAGGTTTTCTTGAGAGCCATCAATCCTGAATCTGAAAGTTAAATTGAACTACCGGCTGTAACGCAGCATAACAGAAATGCGACTTCTTTCTAAGAATAAAAAGCATTCGCAGACATGTTGTCCTTCGACAGACAGAAGGAAGGGTTAAAATGTTTCGGTCTTAAACCTAACATTACGTGCCTCGCACAATTTCGTTGTTGGCAGTAAGGTTTTTAAAATGACGGAATCAACTTATCTAAATCGAACCGAATAGTTACTCAGAAACTGTGTAACCAGCTTCAAGCAGAAATATTTTTGGCCCTGTGATTACTCTCCCTGCTCTATTGCACCTCTAAGACTAATCCACGTTCCTTTTCAGATATGTCAAAAAGAAGCGTATTTCTAATGTCTGGGTAGCTATGCAGTTTCAATCGCCATGTAACTCAACTACAACCTGTTTTGCTTCCGACCATCATCAACCATCTTCTCTATATTCTAATTTGTTTCACTGCTTCCCATCACCATTCATTTTCTCCGACTCCATTTTCTGCAACCAATGCTACGGACCCAGGCTCATCAAAAATCGTGATAACTCTCTTGAAACCGCACTTCCAACTATATGCTTGTGTTCCATAGTGGCACTATATATCAAATCGAACAAGTCTCACCAGTTAGAAGTATAGAATTTGGGGATAGGGATGTATGATTCACTTCTAAAACACGCTTACAAAACCCAAGTATAGTGATTCATTTGATCCTATCCAGCAAGTGCGATGGGTTTGTGTGATTTACCCTTCAGGATTTAATGACTAGCTCTCATTGTATTCCAAATGTAGACGTATTATTGATGTCTACGGTTGAAATCATACTACTTTTCAGATGAGGCTCGGTTAATAGTCACCATTACGTTGTTTTAAGTGTTGTGATGCATGCTTGTCTTGTAGTTTCTGCCCAAGTGCCTACTGACCGCGGTTCGGAGCGAATGTAGGATGCATCATATTGAAACCTGTCTAGCTATCTAAGAAGCTAAACGTCCGTACGTGGTCCTTATAGAAGACTACTTTGATTGACAGGCACTGAGGTTATGCCTTATGGGAAGGCATTTTGTTGGTTTCTTTTGATTCTAGACATAGCAAAGTGATAATGATTACCTGTTGCTACAACTATGAATATCACCTATATGTAGGGAGAAGATCAAGCATGTCATAAAAAGGCATTGCTTGACCAAGTGACCAATCATTTCATCTGGCCGTGAAAATAAAGTATATTGGTATCAAATACTGTTGCATGGGATCAGTGGGTTTCTATTTCTTCTATAGTATTTGAATGCACATTGAATGTGCATTGATTTTAGCATGCAGGTGTCCGCATTTTGACGTTGGTAAATAAAAAATGTATGGGAAAATGATATCGTTTATTTGTTGAAGATGAATGACTGACGTACCTGTATTCGTTAATTAGCCAGAACTCCATTGAACAGAATTCGAATTAAGGGGTGCCAAATGTTTTTTCGCAGTTTGTCAATGTTCAGTAGTTAACACTTCTGAAATCTCCAAAACACAGTTATTGGCTTTTCTGTAGGGCCTATTTCCGGCCTATTTATGTGGTTACAATATTTATTAAACCTAAAATCCCCTCAATTATGTTTGACAATAAAGTCTACTGGACTGAAGTACTTATGCTACAGAATATATTTGTTTTGGCTGCACACAATCGACATCTATCGACTGAGTAGACATACTTAATGGAGATACAATGGAAAGAGTAAAACGATACAGATATTAAATTCACATAACCATGTAATAATCATATATGGTTATAATGATTGTTAACTTATGCATTTCGCCTTGTATTTTAATTGTATAATTACTTTGTATTTTTAAAGGAATTGGAACAGATTGAAGAGACATGGCACTCTGAAGTTCAAGAACTCCTTCAATTAATTGAAAAGTTAAAAGAAGAAAATAAGCAGCTTAAAGATGCTATTGAAGATAAAGAAACATCGAACTGTCAATCACCGGCTCCGAGCAGTTCAAAGGGTAAGTTTTAGCCCCTAAGGGATTAGGCGTACGTATACTGAATTATCCACTATCTTGTGTTGAATGTAATGAAGAAAAACATACCTGCAGGTGTCAGCACCATACAGCTCATCATAACTGCATAACAATTCTCTTAGTTGTGTTTCACTTCAGAATAACAAGACAAGATGACATCATTGTAACTTATAGTGAATGAAGTCACGTTACGTCTCCAACCTTCTGTTTCAACTGTTAAATGAACCGTAATCAAGGAGCTCATAGCGCTCTTCACGACTGGTGCCAACAATATGAAACCTCATCGATTGTTGCTATGTCGTGATCTGAATACTATTCTCTAGCCGATAAATGGTTACGTGTACTGCACAGAAGTTCGCTCTGTTCTACTGTATAGCCGTGAAACATGGCCATTGAAGGTGGAAAACATAAGAAGGCTTCAGATGTTTGACCACCGTTACCTTCGTAGTATAGACTGTATTCCGTGGTGTCACCACGTGAGTAACACAGACATCAGGTGTAGAGTTTTAAGGAGAGAAAGGTAAATCAGTTGACACGGTTATGAACCTTCATCGACTGAGATGGCTGGACAATGTTTTACCTGTGGCTAATCGCCGTCTGCCTCGTCACACAATGTTGGCCGAAGTAGGTTCAGGCTGGAAAAAGGTCGAAGGCAGCCATACTAAAACATGACACCAATGTATGAAGACTTTGACTGTTGTTTTGAGCCATATGGGGCGATGCAGACCAGGTGGTTGGGGTCCGTGGGACAAGAAGAACAAGTGGTTGGAGCTTCTTGATGATATGGCTCAGAACCTATGTCAGTAGCGCAGATGTATACACACATTATCCTCATCTTAACGACGCTATATCGAATCCAACCATTTTCTCATTCTTCCTTTCTCCCTCTTAGTACTTTATACTTCTCACTGAATTTTCTTTCCTTCGTCTTGCACCTCACTGCCTTTTTATTTGATGTACTGATATGAGGTGTGGCAACTTGGACCGTTACGCAGTAATGCCTGGTCCTAGGTTGATTTGGATGGATGATGGACTCTCGCTGATATGTCACAGTGAAGTATTCAGAAGCCAAAAGTCCTTAATGTGTTTCCTGAATACTTCAGTCTTTGGTCATGAGCATTTTTTACAACCGATTTAATTTTGTTCCTAGTCTACTTGATAGTCCTCCAACACTACTACAGAGTATAGAATGGCAGTCAACCCTCCAATCACCACCAAGGGGAGAAACTTAATGGAAGTAGTCTCTTTCACCTATCTAGGCAGCACTGTTTCAACTACAGGCAGCGGCACAGAAGAGGACGTCAAAGTCAAGATCGGAAAAGCAAGACAGGCGTTCATTAGTCTGAACCAGTGTGGAGATCCACTTCACTGCACTCAGCATAAAGCGTGAACAAGATGCGGATTTTCAACACCAACGTCAAGTCAGTGCCTCTATTTGATGGTTGAGAGACTTGGCGCGTTACGAAAGGGATTTGCAACAAACTACTGACATTCATCAACAACTGTTTACGCTGGCTGGTTACTAAAGCTCAGATGGCCAGAAAGAATCAGCAACAAGGAACTCTGAGAAGGAAGCAACCAAGAACCTATCGCTCAACAAATATTCACTGGAAGGAAGTGGAGATGGATTGGATTGGGCAGACCATGAGAAGGCCTATTGGGGACATCACGCGCCAGGTTAGGCCTTTGAGTAGAGCGCCGACGGGAAGCGACGAGTTGGGCGTGCGAGGTGAGGATGACATGGAGGAGATCGTGCCAGGAAGAAATGAGAGCTTGTGGGCAGTCGTTCAGCCAGGTTCAAAAGATTGGAGAGAACAGAGTGCACTGGAGACGTGCTACCAAAGCCCTATGTTCCATTAGGAACCCAAGAGATAAATAATAATAATAATAATAATAATAATAATAATAATAATAATAATGATATAATAAATTTACTTCACAGTCTTGTAGTCATAAAGTCATGAATGTTATGTAGCACACTAACTGTGTTAGGCATTCAGATATTTCACTGACAATATAAGGCATGTAAGTTGGCGAATACCAAGCGAACTTTTTGTGTTCGGAGTGAGATTTTGACAGATATCAAACCCAATTTACTTCACGAATTTATAAGATAGGAAGAATGGCCAATATCTTCAATGATTTCACCTAGGTAAGGTATCACTACAGACAAGTTCTGAAGCAGTATTTCGCATCCGGGAATCGAGAAGTGGAGTTCAGTTCTATCTTCATCGTAATGGATATGACTGATATTGGACGTTCGTTAGTATTCCCGTTTTTGAGAATCTAGTGAAAGGGTTTAAGACCCAGTTAGTTCTCCCAATTTCTCTGCTCTAAAGTTGTGGTCTGAAATTGTATGATTTTAAATCTTAAAAGTCTAGATACTCTTAGTTAGGCTTGTTTCCGTGTGGTTATCTAAAAAATTTTCTTCCTCCCTTATCACAAGTGAAAGCTATCAACAGTGTAAAATTGAGTATCAGTCTGATTCTGACACCCAGCTACTCTTCAAGAAAACATGAGAGTTAGTTTGTCCGTCCTAGGGTTTACGGTAAAGTTCACCACAAGAACCAACCTATGCACTTTTACTTACCTACACACCTGGTAGATAAAACTGTTTCTTCACTTCATTTTCTACCAGTTTATCAAGGCGTACGACAATGAGTTTTTCATTCAGTATGCCAGTCTAAAGAATCGCTATTCTTTTATCTCTTCTTTCCTGCTTATTGTCAATAAGTAGATGTATATACAACCAGTTATTGCAATAACTCACCTACTCCAGCTAATAGGCCTAGAACACAAGTGAAAGCTGTTTCAGATCACCCGATACACTTTCAGTAAAAAGCTTTATACGAGCGGAAAAGATGGTATGTTATTGAATTACCTTCAGAGTCACTCAGAAAGATAGGAAGAGCACTTTAAAAAGCCGTTTACTTGGTCTACAGTCCCAGTGATTCTGACCCTAAGACGTTATCGCCCATAGTCAGTTGGCACAAATACACCTAGTGGAACCTTATAAACAACAGTATGGCACTAAAAAGCGTTTCAACCGAAAGTAAATTCTGCTGAGAATCTACCCATCCACCTTAGTACGTTTCATTAAAAAAAGATTAGTACGTAAAATCTGTAGAAGTGTCTTCAGATTAATGGTCAGTGTTTCATCACTATGTTTATCCTGGATTTCATTGTATGCAGTTTTGCATTTTATCATCTTAAGACAAATGACATCCCATTTACTAAAATAATACGTCATGACGTTTGATTATCGCTTTACGTTTGCACTCACCGCACTCATGAATTGAAATTTCCTCTCATTCTTTCATTTTAAAAGTGTTCATTCATTTGATGCATTCAGCAGATAAGTAAACAATGCACTTATATGATTACATTATTCTTTATGGTAAATTCTTTCTTCGTTATCTTGTATTTATTGTAAATTCGAAACATATCGGTTATATGCTTTTGTATCAAACATTTTTCACTAGCACTTTCGTGTTATTATTTAGTTAGTTTCACCTTCATATGTGCCTACGATATCACATATAGAAAGTTGAATGAAAGTTGTCCAAATAATTATCTAATAGTGTCAAATATATGTCATCATTTTAACTATCTGAGACAGCCGTAGTTTGGCTGACTAGTATTTATACTGGGTTATGATTGAAGGTGATGCTCTACCAACTGAGCATCGGGTGGAAACCCGGTGGTCGCTGGTTCGAGTCCGACTGCGGTCTAAATTTTCATTTCACCTTCAATTATAACCCAGTATCAGTATATGTCAGGTGAAATGAAGTATATATAATCTAAAAATACCTTTATTTTCCTGGAAAGTACTTATCATGTTTCAGTCATCGACGCTAATCAAATATTATGATTTAGTGGATGTTATCACCTGCGAATTGAGGATATCTGATGACTTTCTATGTTCAATAGCTATCGTTTCAGTAGGACTGCTCTTATTCGGTGGCAGTACCATGTTGGATTATTTTCAGGTTTGGTGGGACATGATTAAACATGACAGACATAAATTAACTGAGCCATATTGAAAGGCTATCTTTGGTAACTTGAATACATCTTAAGCACACCATCTGGACAGATTCTGGATCGATCACTGTTTATTCAAAAAAGTGGAGAGATTGGTAGAGTATAATGTGGCGTCTGGAAATGCAGGATCGTTGTGTCAGGCTAACATTTCTTTTTTTTGATGCATCATGGCTTGTTGAGTAAGGTTCTAGCAACAGTGAGACTTAATGGTTTAAAATGCCATCAGACCTAGTTCACAGTAGAAATCAGTCATGATCATACTGCAGATTTGGTATGCTTTTTTTCCCTAAACATTACTACGAACGTGATATACGCATTTTGGATGTATCTTTTGTAACTGCTTCTATTTTTGTGATCATTTCTATCCATCCATCCAAATCAACCTAGGACCAGGCATTACTGCGTAACGGTCCAAGTTGCCACACCTCATATCAGTACATCAAATAAAAAGGCAGTGAGGTGCAAGACGAAGGAAAGAAAATTCAGTGAGAAGTATAAAGTACTAAGAGGGAGAAAGGAAGAATGAGAAAATGGTTGGATTCGATATAGCGTCGTTAAGATGAGGATAATGTGTGTATACATCTGCGCTACTGACATAGGTTCTGAGCCATATCATCAAGAAGCTCCAACCACTTGTTCTTCTTGTCCCACGGACCCCAACCACCTGGTCTGCATCGCCCCATATGGCTCAAAACAACAGTCAAAGTCTTCATACATTGGTGTCATGTTTTAGTATGGCTGCCTTCGACCTTTTTCCAGCCTGAACCTACTTCGGCCAACATTGTGTGACGAGGCAGACGGCGATTAGCCACAGGTAAAACATTGTCCAGCCATCTCAGTCGATGAAGGTTCATAACCGTGTCAACTGATTTACCTTTCTCTCCTTAAAACTCTACACCTGATGTCTGTGTTACTCACGTGGTGACACCACGGAATACAGTCTATACTACGAAGGTAACGGTGGTCAAACATCTGAAGCCTTCTTATGTTTTCCACCTTCAATGGCCATGTTTCACGGCTATACAGTAGAACAGAGCGAACTTCTGTGCAGTATACGCGACCCTTAGTAGACAATCGGATATCACGGCGGCGCCACAGATGGCGTAAGTTGGCCAAAGTCAATCGAGCCTTATGTATCGATGCAGAGATTTCACCGGCCACTGATCCATCAGCGGTGATCCTACTTCCCAGGTAAGTGAAGTGGTTAACACACTCAACCATTACACTCTCTGTTGTTAACCATGGCACCGTTGAAGATCAGTTCTGCAGCTGCAATTTGCATCTGGGTGGTGAGAAACACATCCCAATTATTCTCAAATTGCTACTCAAAGTGTTCAGAAGACTCTGCATCTTGTCAGCATCTTCACCTAACAGGACATTGTTATCTGCACATTCTAGTTTCGTCGAAAATTCTCCAGCGATTAGGTCAACCTCTGTGTAATCAGGCGACGAGAGGGAAAGCTCCATAAGAATGTCTATGAATTGTAATCATTTAGTTATTTCTTACTTATGGAGAAAGCAATGTTTTTAGGAACATATTATAAGTTAAAATAACGGCTACAGTTATCGATTTCTACTGTACACATCAGTAATTTCTTGGTAAATGATCTAAAATGAAATGCAATCAAGTGTACTTTTAATAATAATCAGGTATTAGCATGAACAGAAAAGTCAGTTATGCTTTAAAAGTAAATAAATCAACAATGAATACACGTGATATTTGTAAACATTTCCTCTTAAGTATTGCGTCATTTCATTCTCCGTTTCAAGAATTCATGAGTAAATATTTCCCAGTACTAAGCATTTTATGCTCTCTTTGCATTATTTCATTGTTTTGTGTGGGGGATGTGTAGTGGCAGGAGTAACTTGCTGATCTGTAGATGTGAGAACCCCTCAATCTATCAATTTTTGTGCGTTTCATATTACAACAAAACAAATATCTGGTAAACTACAATCTTCAATGGTTCTTTGATTAGTTTTGATTCATAATAAGACTGTCCTCAAAAGTGTATTTCATTGAAAACACTATACAAACTTAGACACTGTTTGTGTTAATTGTAGGAAGGGAAAGTGCCGTAAAAAAAGTATCCGCTAACAGCTAACTAAAATATTTAAACAGTCGTAACAATACGTTACACTCCTGTTCGTTATTAGTGTGTATGAATGCCACTGTAAGGCAGGTGATTCGATTGATGAGGTTGTGAACTTAAGTCGACTGAAATGACTTGGATATATACTGCGCATGCCGAGCCACCATTTACCCTGACGTGCAATGCTAGGGTCAGAAGAGGGTTCAGGATGGCTGGACCAAGACATGGTACCAGTCGGTGAAGTCTCCAACTGTTGATCTAAGCCGTATTTGGAGATATAGACTACCTGATTCCGGTCCCCGAGAAGAGGGATTAGTGGTTAAGGACTCTTGGTGAAATTGCTCCGAATCGGTCACAATGGCGCAGGTGTATTCACTCTTTAGCATCTTCTAAAGCTTGAATATTCCCACTAACCTTTATCTTCAGATTGTTTATCCTCTTATACAGCTTTGTCTACTTTGCTATCGCTCTTTTTCTATCTACCTTTTCTTTGTGTACCACTATGAAGTGTGACAACTTGAGGTAAGGCATCTGCTTGCGACGTTCTACGTTGATTTTATCAGTTTTCAATCAGTCAGTCATCACTACAGAAAATTGTTTTGTAACTAACGTTATCTTATCGGAGTAGCCTAGTTTTCTTGCATGAAAATATGTAAATTACTGTTACGAGTTAAATATAAATCTAATACACAACTGAAAAGTAGTAATAATGTTACAATAAAAAAATAATTTATCATTCAGGTTAAGGCAGATTCGTTCTCCAGTTGGTATTCATCATGAACTGACATCAGTTGGAGAACCATTGGAAACCTACTAGCATTACACAGCTGTTTCTTCGTAACATGGAACCCCTCAGTACTGCTCACCCATGACCCAGCCCGGGACCTTCAGGTTCTGCGGCCGGTACGTTGCAATCGAACCACTGCGTTGGAATCCAGTGGTCCAGATTTTCTTCCCCTGTAATTTCACAGTATACCGTGACCTTCTTTTAATTCCATTGTTGAGTAACTGTGCTCAGGTCCGACTTGGTTTGCCACTCCGGTTACAACTTCTCATCTTGAAGGAAGTTACTAATGAGCACTACGTTTATGGTTGAGCTTAAGAAATAGGTAGAAGAATAAAATGGATCACCTGTAAATAATAAAAGTATGACGTTACAGCGATAAGGTGAATCAGCTTATGCAACCAAAAAATTGAAGGTAGTTTGATAGGTTAAAGTTTTGACTGCCATAAATCGTCTGTGAAGTGCATTCCTCAGATAGCCAAATATCGTCGAATTTCTCAGTATGGTCATTTGATATCCAGCAGGCATTCAACATGTCAATCATGAACACATAAGATGTATATACGAGCTCACTGTGTTTTTGGCGATTAGCAATCCATCTTTTGTGTTATTCGTAGCAGTTAAATACAAACAAATCTTTTGCAGTCATCACCGCTTAACTCGATGTGCATTGCTAGCAGAATTCGGGTGACCAGACTACGACGTGAAATCAGTGCATGAAATCCCTGACTTTTTATCTGAGCCGTTTACGGAGATGTAGACTATATAGCCAGTGTCTCAGAGACGACAGGAATCAGTGGTTGGTAAAGAAGCTGAAAATTGGTCATAATGACGCGGATGCGTTCACTCTTTGATATCTTCTAAAAGGTTGATTGTTTTGACTGACTTTCATTTTTAAATTCCCTCTTCTTCAATCCACCTTTGTCTACTTTGATATCAGTCTTTCCTACTCGCTTGCTCACTGTAAAGTCCGGTAACTTGAACCGATGCACTTGTGTGCGGTATTTTATATTGATTTTGTCTGTCTTCCTCTGTCTATCATCACTAGATGTTTTCGAATGCGGAAATTTAATGAAATTTAGAAAAAGTATTCGTCATAGCTATCTGCACAAGTTCTCTGTCACAATAACAATATTTTGCAATAATGATGGATAGTGGCTAACAGTGGAATGCAGGACGCGCGTTTCCTTCTATTTGGGACTCGTCAGCTAGATGCACCTGCCTCCCAGTAAGTGATGTTGCCCCCACTAAAACTCGAAACTGAAACCGATCGCTTCAAACGCCGGGGAGTTATCCACTAGGCCACCGAGTTACGATAGCCACTTCTTGTGCAGCGCGCACCCTCGATCCCATTGCTAGCCACTATTCATCGTTAATGTCAACATTGGAAATGCAGATAATATCGAGGCATCCGCACAGAAGCCCATACACCAGTAGAGACCGATCAATTCAGTCTAATCAACTATGGAGTAACACAGGCAACATCATATAAACATTTTGTATCGTTATGTTTCATTTTAATCATTATTCAGATTAAATTTTAGTTCGAATTTCAACAACATGATCGAATTTTCTACCACCATGTCTACTAGATTGCTTCTAGCGAGGTCTGTTTAAGCAAAGATTTAATTTACTGATTATGTTAATTGTTACGTTTTATGGAGTGTTTTTCTTTCAGTTAACAATGTTTCTATTCTCTCCATCTTTCCTATTTTTGTTAACTAGTTCCTACAAATATTGAAGAGATACAACTAATGATACGTTTAAAAGAAATCATAGATCGTCAAAAAATACAAATTCGATCATTGCGTCAACAATTAGCTCAAAAACATGTTGATTTGGATGCGGTATGTATATTATGTACTAATGTGATTTATTAACTTAGTTGGAAAATTGATAACACTCTTTTGCTTATATGTGTATATGTTCAGTAATTAAAAATTGTGTGTAAATTTGTCATTGATGGCAAACCTAATTGCCTCTAGAAATTGAATTCTTTTCAATATTTTGATGCTTATGTAAGCTCAATCATAAGATAAAAGATTAGGTAAGAGATAGGTAATTAACCCTTTTGCAAAAATCTCAGCTCAAAGTAGGTTAATCATTACTCTATGGATACATAGCATCCCTAATGCAAGAGCCTAGTTGCTAAGTATGTATTAAGCTTGTCAGTTTTATCTAACAATCATCTAAGCTACTAAAGAATATATCTGCTGACATATTCATGTTACCAACCGTGTGCAAGATCTACTTTCATTTTGAATTATGTATTATGGTTACCAGCTACTTTTGATCATTGGTCATTTCATTACCTTATACATGAGCACTCACATCTAGTCAGATTACTGAATGGACAAAGGTTAGTCATGTTAGAGTTTTTATCCATCAGTCAGTATGAATATACAATATGGCATCACTATTTAGTAGTCCAATTTTTCATATCGACTGTTCTCCCTCAGACCTGATACTTCACTGAGCTATGAAAATCAGAAAACAAAAGACCGGTCTGTGACTGCAAGGAAGACAACCTTATTTGACCAAAACATATCACTTATATGCAGTTTTTCCTCAGAAGTTGGACACTTATTTTGACTGGTCAACTGAAGGACAAGGTTGTCCAATAAGGTTTTCCCTGTCACATAGTAACATGAAACAAGATTGAAATTTAAAACGTCTTCTTTATTGGCTGATGACTTAGAATGATGATTTCGATTTAGGCTGTTTCCTACCGCAACACTACAAGGTGAAAGACAGATAAATAAAAGGAAATTAATCGTTTGTTGCCAACATAGTGGTTACATGACACATGGCCAATGCTACGAAGGTAATGGTGGTCGAATAAATGAAGCCGCATTCAATAATAATATGCTTATTCGCATGTAATAGATACCGGTTCATAGGCATCATCATGTTGGTAATATTTGAAAGAATACAACTATTGCGTTATCTTGGATAGTAAATGGAGCAAATCAGTAAGGTTTCAAGTAACATCAAGACTTTTTGCAAGTTATGAAATGGACAATATTATGTCATATTCTCCATTTATAATGGCCACGTTTAACAGCTATAAAATAGAAGACAGAAAACTGTTGTGGAGTACACTCTACTCTTTATGAGGAGTTTGATATCTGTCTGACATCACATGTAATGTAAGCTGACAAAATTCAATTCATCCATTTTTAAAATATGTTCTGAGGTTTCATTGGATACTAGTAGCTACATTACAACTCCAGAAAAAACTCAAAACTCCATTGATTCTCCTTTTGTCACTTTCAAAGTAAGTATTCATGAAACGATTTCCCCGATGTCAATAGTTCACTGACACTGTATTCTAATCTATAGTGAAGTGGACTCTTAATTCTTCTTTGCACTGCTTTTCGTACATCCACACACCCTTTTTAAAGACTACTATTATATAATAAGAGGGAAAGATGAAAATCAGTTTGCGACAACAAAAAGGAATAGCGACAACACACTTCGACATAAAGTATGTAGTTGGTGGTGTTTTCAGTAAGGGTTATAAAGGGTGTGAGGTTTTCAAAACATCGGGAATCACTGATCTTCAGCCACATAGTTTGTCCCTTCCCCCCCATCCTGTTGTCTAAGTTTTGCATACATGCAACTGAATGGTCTTTCCATAACGCACCGAAATGCTTCAAAACCAACTAATTTCATACATGTGAAATGGAAAAGTGCATAGTAATTGACTTTGCTTAGCTTGCAGTTATTTCGAAACTACCAGTCCTACAGAAATAAGTTAGGTATCAATAAAAAGCTCTCAAATCGAAATATATAATAATACCATGAAGTAGGTCTTATATGGACTGTCTTCAAAAAAAAGGAGTATGGTCAGTAACATTTGTCTAAAATTCCTATTTCTGTCTCTTTGGTCCCTCTATAGCAATAACGTTTAGTGTCATAGTCTTCACTATACTAACTTTCGTCCGTTTATTTTTCTCACATATGCGATGACGTAATATATGGCAACTAGAAATGATTAAAAGTTGTTTTAGGACCCATGTTATTTATATCTATCTGTCTGATACAGCTGGTCGAAGTTTTCATTTACCAGCTTTCGAGTTTGGACAACTGTATAATATTATTAATTACTCTTAACAATATGCATAAGTCATAGTTGAATGCATTCATACGTACATAGTTACTTAAATGCATCATGTCTTCAAGTTGATCACAAGATGAATTCACTTTTCTATCAAGTTGACGTAAGTATCATCACTACACACATTGATGACTATATCTGTTTAAATATGACTGCAAAATAAAATTAGTAATTCAAAGATATGCCTACTGGCGTGTTGCTATTCAGTAATTCATGGTAATTACCTAATTCTATATTTGACTTGTTTAATGAATGACATATTTATCTATTTTTGTATCATATCTCGAGTTATTGATTCCTAAATGCGATGTATTATGACAATAACATTATTATTTTCTGTAAATTTACTCGAAACCAACAAACACTTTATCACTCGTGACCATGGATGGTTATTAATGTTTTTATTTCTGTATGCTTGAGGGATTTTTCTCGTCTGCTTTTTATGTTAAATTTGTCTAATTGTAGCAGGTAAAAGAAATTTCTTTATGGTTATAACGATGGTAGATATTCTCCTGGATGATTTGCCTGATTGGTTGACCAACAGTTATCTATGTCTTTTTTACAGCCTCATCAGCCAAAGCTTTTACCTTACATTAAGGTTGTATCAAGTATGTCCTGAACTTTTCGTCAAGGACAGTAAGCATCGACTGTTTCCCTTGAGTGAGTGGTAGATGGTTTACCAATTGATTGTATGTATTTCAGGGACATACATGCTCATATCCTGGGTTGCCTTCTGTGCATTATCTACTGCATCAGAAGAATATTCCTAGACATGGGGATCAAAATTCGACTTGATAGAATTAGATAGTTGGGTGGCTGTATATAAATGTGACATATATTTATGAAATCCCGATGGAGAATGGCTTTTTAAGATGACGAGAAAGTAGTATGGTTGGAGATCCTGGCAACACTTCACTTCTGTTGAGTCCCATTACAGTTATCACTTACTTTAATCTCAAACAGTAACTTATTCTATGACATCCCTGTGTTACTGTATGATAAGGAGACCAACTGCCTTCTATGACGAACGATGCCCATTAAGTCAAAGAATAGAATAAGTAATTCAGAGAATAAAACATTTTCTTTTCTGACGATGTCATTTTCTAAAACTGTACAGTCGTATTTATATATATCACAAACATATAACAGTCTATTATTGAACAATAGGGTATAGTTACATCATTAGGGTGCTATTCAAACTGAACTAAACAATGGGAAGGAGTTGCGTAATAATCTACCAGATAGTGCCAATAACCAGGAAGACGAGGAGTTTGACAAGGTGAGAATTGTTGGTGGATGTGAAATGTGCTGATTGAAACAAGGGTTATCATGAAAGGGATGATGGTAAACTAATTAGTTATTATAAAATCTCCCCCGACAACCATGTAGAATATGTTTGGAAAGCGCATGCTTTGTGCGACCTATGCAACTAACCGCACAAGAGCAAGTAATTTTGTAAACACATCGAAGTATCCCAAAGCTGCATCTTGTACTCAACGTACCTTGGAACTACTTATTGACTGAAAAAGTTGATCTGTGGCTTGGTAGAGAAAGCTGTTTTCTTCAGCGATTTGGATAGCCGATTCCTCAAGATCTCTGCTGCTGTTACACCAGTATTTTTCGTCAAATTTACTTGTTCTTATGGAGCTAGTTATATAGACTTCACAAAGCACACGCTTTCCAAACATATTCTACATGGTTGTCGGGGGGAGATTTTATAGTAACTAATTAGTTTACCATCATCCCTTTCATGATAACCCTTGTTTCAATCAGCACATTTCACATCCACCAACAATTCTCACCTTGTCAAACTCCTCGTCTTCCTGGTTATTGGCACTATCTGATAGATTATTACGCAACTCCTTCCCATTGTTTAGTTCAGTTTGAATAGCACCCTAATGATGTAACTATACCCTATTGTTCAATAATAGACTGTTATATGTTTGTGATATATATAAATACGACTGTACAGTTTTAGAAAATGACATCGTCAGAAAAGAAAATGTTTTATTCTCTGAATTACTTATTCTATTCTTTAATTTTTTTTGTCTCAATGCTATCCAGCTTACTCTCTTGGTGTGGTAGAGCATGAAAAACATGCACTCTAACTGATGTTACCGGGATATCCCATGACTTTCGACAATTCTGATCACTACGGAAGTGTAAAAGCTGGTATCTGCATCAAATTGAAAACTTTCTGACATTATCTGTTTCTCTGCAGTTTCTATCAATACACATGAAGCACAAAATGTCAATAGATTCGAGTAGAACATGAAGGATGGAATGGTAGTGTTAAGAATTATTGCCTAATAGTTTTAGGTGTTGGGGATGATTTGGCAGGAAACCCTGGACTTCTGCTTGTTAATACTGATCAACAAAGTATATTTGCAACCATGAAACTCGAAGAAAGAGATGGAAATGCCTTCAGCAATCACCTCCACACCCGTGCAGTTGGCAGTGAGTCACACCTATTGTATCAGAGCTGATGATACTACCTGGATGCCCAAGACTTGGTAGCCTTAAACCGGGTCCGAACCCGTGACTCATCGGTTGGAAGTCGAATGCCTCGATCAATGAGCCCCAGCTCAACACAAGGAAACTGGTATCCCTTCGGTGGTCCGAACCTGCACCACAGGGTGCTGAAGTCAGTGACTTAACCACTAAACCATTCAGACCACGGGTGCCTTCTATAGGCTTATACTGTGTTCGCGAATTGGTCGCCAGCGGTAAGCCGACGTGCCAGTCTATTTCTTATTGCACAGCATATAACAAAATCTGTCTGGTTTTGCAATGTAGCCACTAATTCAAGTGACACGACACTGTGGTACAACTTATTTCGGTTTCACAGGAAGGCCTGAATCCAAGCTTCTTACTTGTCGGCACTCATTGGTAATTGGAAGGAAGAAGTGTAACTCCACTGTTGAGGCAAACTAAAGTTGTGCATCTGCACTTTGTGCATAATTGCTTCTTTCCATCAGGTTTTTGCGCAAACTGTTATATACAACCATAGTGTTCTTAAAAGTTAACGTTATTAGGACGTTCATACTACATATGACCAGCACTAACAACCCTTCGTCAAATTTCTTCTTATGTAGTTAAGTTAAACCATTGACCATGATCATTTAGAATGACTTACCAGATGTTTAAGTTTTCAGTATGCACTAAGGTGTAATGTTCATGAAGAGTCAATGTATAACTTTCATACACCCACAATAGTGTTTTTTTAAAATCAAATATGTCTTACTTTTAATGACTCATTTTCTAGTTTTTCTTTATGTTTACAATGCAGTCAATGACTAAATGATAAGATAATTAGCAGACAGCGTGCAACAAGTAACATCTGCTGAGAAGCACTAAGGGTACTTGGCGAGTCGTTCTTTCATCCTGCATTCAATTTCTTTTGATTGTGCAGATTGTGATCCCCTCTTAGTGCAGCGATATAAAGGTAGCAGTTGTTACAACTAGGTTGGTGATATATACGCCGGTCATTGCTTGCATACTTTACTCGGTTCTTTAAAAGCTTTCACATCGTTTCATATTATTGGGAAGTGTATATCCTCCTTCTTTATTGATTTAGCGGCACATATTATGTCTTCCAACATGAATATAGTAAACTCCACCTTTACATTTCTGTGTGTAAAATATCACATCATGTCCAAAACTACATCTATGACGTTCCCAACCTATTCAGTTAGGTGTTATAAATAATGTAAGCTCAGAGTGTTTATCCAACCGATAGGTGCACATTGGTTTAAGGCTTTTCGAGGGAGATATTCTGCGCGTAAGACTAATATTTATTGTCTTCGTTCACAATTTACCATACTGTCTTGTAAATTTGTATCAAAGGTTTAGGTGGAGCTGGGGAGTATTCTTCGTTTCAGTTAATTTTAGCCTATGAAAGATACTAATGCTGATACAAATGATAAAAATATAAGAGCAAAGATTTGAACACTCTAGATGAAATTTCCATCTAAAGTCTTTCTATAATACTGTAAATATCATTGTGGTTTTGTTGTTTCTTTGCCTCTTGTTTTCACCACTAATTTTTATTCTTATTCCACCCAGCAGCTTAACACTGTTAGAAGTGTCACCCTGTCTAAATCATTCCATGTTGCTGGACTGGTTTTGACATCCTTATCTATGCTTGTGCCAAGTGTAGTTGAAATGGTGATGCCCTACCTAGGTAGGTGAAAGAGACTACTTCCTTTAGGCTTCTCCCGTTCATGGTGATTGGTGCTTGTTGTTGTTGGTGTTAGTGGCGTTGGTTGGGTATCTTCATCACCTCCGTCTTCTCTACATTCACTTAAAGTCCCGTCCTCGCTGCCTCGCCTTTTCTATCAACTTGTTACTTTTCGCCTGTAGATCTTTGAGTTTGTGCGACAAGACATTAGACATAAATCATCATCGGCGAAATCCCAATCTTCTGGAGTCTTTTCATCTGTCAAACGGCGTATGCCCAACTTCTCGCTCTTCGCGGTTTGCTGCATGATCCAGTCGACCACAGTCAGGAAGATCATGGGTGATAGTAGGCGGCAGCCTTGTCTTACTCCTGTCTTCACTTCAAAGGCACCACTGAGCTTTCCACTGTGGATCACTTTGCATGTGGCGTTTTCATATAGCTGTTAAATGAGGTTGATAAAGCTTTGTGGCACTCGCCTGGTTAACTAGTTCACTAGTTACTAGCCGGTCCTAAGCCCGGGTAAAGAGGGAAGGTTGGGCATAGGGCTAGCAACCCTACCCCGTAAAACCAATCCAATCGCTAAAGAAACTTCAAAGCACAAAGACTTGCCAGGTATTTCCCCTGTATGACTTCAGCTTGTACCTCAACGGATCTTGCTGTAATCATCCTTCACTTGTATGTCCGACTCACTTTACTGATTAACAAAGATGTTTGCATAACCCTTTAGTGTTAGTAGACCGATCATATAAATATGCCTAGCTTGAGGATTTTCTTAGTGAGCTATAAGTTCTCTGGAATGTGTAGATGATCATAGATTGCACTGTGATAGGTCATCAAGAATACATTTAGTTTGGAGCTGTGTGATAACACAGTCCCTGTATCACTGTGATGACAGTGATGATACAGAGCTTCTCTAAAGACTAAGACATTGTGATCAAAAAGTGTTTCGAGGATGAGAGCAGTAAGCGGACTGATCAATCGTAGAAGGTTTTCTAACAAGCCTAAACAACCGGCGACGATAAACATTGGTACTTGTGAAGTTGTCAATGAAATAAATGTAGTGTTTGTTAGCTTTCGTAAATAAGAGTTGTAGTTGTGAGAATACCACTTCAGAACCTACTTTATCTTACCAACACCAGTATTTTTCTCTTCTATTCAGCACTTCATATTTAGCCGGTACTAACTAACGCACCTGATAAAGCGACAGTTGATAAAGAACTTCAAACTCTTATGGTGTTTCATTTATTACCATCATATCACTGTTCGCATAACTTATACACCCGCCACTACTACACATGTTGAACATAATAATGAGTAATAAACTCACGCTAATCAGGCTGGATTTCTTTGGTTTGTGGATCGAAAAAGGCTTGGGATGCTTAGGCTAAAATAAGGCATCACTCCTTGAAGTCCTTGACTTTTAGTCTGACCCATGTAAGAAGACGCAGACTGGTCGGTCGGGGTCCACATGACAACAGAAGCCACTGGATGGAGACTCTAGGTGATATGTCTTAGAATCGATATCAGTGGCGCAGATGTATCCACGTATTATCTTAGTCCTAATCGCTTTACGAAATTCAGCATTCCTTCATTCCTTCTTCCTCTTTCTTACTACTTTCTGCCACTTTTCATCTTTCTTTTTCTTTCTTTCCTCGCCCTTCTTCTTATTGCTTTGTTACTTGATGTGTTTGGCAAATTAAACGTTATGTAGTAATCCCTAGTCCTATGTTGATATTGATGATGGATGCAAGGGTCACGTCTCCCCTTTCAATTGAAAGTAAAGAGTGAATTGCATAGATATCATACAAAGAGTTGGCTGTCGACTGATATAGAATGGCTAGATCGCATTTTGTCGATCTAATTGGATGAAACTAGTTTTGCAATATGACCGAAAGATTTTAGATTCTAACGATTTAACGGCCGGTTTTTATTAGTAATACAAATCTATGTCTATTGTCGTTGGCTGTCAGTAGTTATTCTATGTGATAATCCTACATAGTGAGAATAATTGTGTCATTGTGTTGTTAATACTTGTGTATTTACTAATTCACTTTATTTTTTGCTTATGACCATGCTACTGACTTTTCTGTTTGTTTTACTTCTTGTATCAGATGCAACAGCAAGCCACACGTTTAGCTAAGCTGAATGCAGTACTTCGTCGTAAACATTTTGTCAGCAAACGACAAGCTGATCAGTTACGCGATGAGAAAATAACCTTGGAGACGTTGCTTAGTACAAAAGAGCAAGAAATTAAACAAATCCAAGAGCATGTTTGCCATAATAACAACAATAGTGATAATAGTGCTAATGAAAATACTGTAGAGTCACCTATATGTCCTGATATGTCACAGTCTTTGATTGCTGAATTAATATCCCCGGAGACTCCGGTAAGCATATGTGTGTATTTTTGCTAAACGCGTTGTTAGATCTCACTGATTCATTTCTGGTCCTTATTTCCGACAAATTTAGTACAACTAGGACACTAGGAGCTACGCCACACAAAGGTGTGGTGTTGTAAAACAACACAACGAAGAAGGAAGGTATTACATCACAGTTGTAGTCGAAATGAGAAAGAGTCTCATGCAAAACAGTCTTCATTATAATGGGCTTTTTCTGGGTTTACATGCAGAATGCTATAACATGATCGTTACTCGTTACTACTTAAAGCCATATCCTACACAATAATGAAGCTTTAACCGCATAATCTCTCCAATTGAAGCCATTTAGTGTCATAAACCAACCGGTGGTCATTCAATAATACTATCTTTCACTACCCTAGACCATTATTATTATTATTATTGTTATTATTATTATTATTATTATTATTATTATTATTATTATTATTATTATTATTATTATTATTATTATTATTATTAGGACACAAACATGGTACAGCAAGGACACCAAGAAATGCACCGTACAGAATAATATAACAACATTATGAAGACATAAAACGAAGGGAAGTGGATAAATAGAAAAAAATAATAATAATAGAATGATTAGAAGAGCAGTCCAGTAAGATAAATTCAAAACAAAACATTCATTAGTTTTCAGCCTGAGAAGATAGAAGGAAGGTACGTTATGACCGTCACTGGTTTCGATCTCGAGCCATATCTGATGACGTCTCAAGCCATTGAATTGCGTGATCTTTCGGACCCTACCCAGGGAGTCGTGATGGACCAACAAACACTAACCCAATACAACTATCCTTCATCCCACGGCGTCACGTCATACACTGGCCAGCCCTCCACTTCTTCCATCCAGTCCTAGGTTCCACAATAAATGAAGGGTGTGGAAGCCGTTGGGACGACGTGAGTAACATATGTCCAAGCCACTGAAGCCGGTGTTTCCAGATGACTTCACTTATTGAATGATATCTACATCACATGGAAACACGCTGTCATACCTCAGAACTACTTACATGATGTTGCCACCTAATGCGAGCAATCCTATGGAGACCATGATGATCAAACACATAGAGTCGTCATATATCCTCAACTCGGAGAGGCCAGGTCTCACAGGCGTAAAACAGAACGGCTCGCACCGAAGCTTGGTTAACCCGGCCTTTAACGGTCAGAACAACGTCGTGATGGCACCAAAGGTGGACCAGATTGGTGTACGCCACTCAGGCTTTCGGTATGCGGGTGGTAATTTCATTGCTCACTCCTCCACCAGCACTCATATAACTACCCTGATACACGAACTTTTCGACTACTTCCAACGGCTTATCATTAAGAGTAAGCACAGGCACAGGCTCCTGCGAATCTTCCAAAAGTACAATGGTACAAAGTACATACCATACTTACGGACACTAGACCGTTAACTAAATTTCCTTTGGCAACATCTGACGTAAAGACACTGGTTGGTGTCAATAATCTGATCAATCATCCTTTATCAAATATGAACGTCTGATCTATTTTAGAAACTTCATGCAACGTTTTTCCTCGTGGAAAACTATCGTTCTCTTGCAGAGAGTTGTAATGACATTTACTTTACACATAGTGTTTGAGTTTCGAATACAACTTTATTAAACATTATTTACCCAAATATTTGAGTGCATATGATTCTCCGACTTTATCCCCCCCAGAGCACAGTATTTTCGGCATTCAAATATGCAATAAATGACGTATATAATGGTACATAGAAAAAGTGTAGTTGGATAATTATGGGAATATATATTACTTAATAACCACGTATATGCGTGTCTATGCACTACATAATCAGTTACACTTACCATTTGAGGGATCCACACACAACTGCTGGAATGAGATTTGAGCATTTAACCCTATTGTAGGTTGTTAGATGTTTGAGCCAGTAAGTGACAAGTCCACTAGGTTGCTATAGTTAAGATGAAGGTTTATTTTGTATTTTTGGATAGGTTATCATGACTATAATTTATTGACTCAAAAAGTGCCATAGTAAAACTTCACTGTATAAATAAATTACTATGTTGTGAGTTGTAGGAATGAAAGTGTGAGTATATACTGTGACTAACCATATTATATTTTGATGCTCAATTCTTTACCCACATGTAATATATTTATCATGGCAATAATACGCTGAGTGTACAATGAGGCAGTTCCATCGTAGAATTTCTGAGCACCACCCATCATAGTTAAGCAAGGGACAAATTCGAACAATAAAGAGCTCCTTACTTGCACACCTTGTTGACGCGGGACATCAAGTGGATAATAGAAAAGCTTTCAAAATTGTCATATTTTAATTAATTTATCACATAGATTACGCACTCGCTTACTTCACATCATAGCAGAGGCGATTGCAATCCATCTTTACAAACCTAACATTTGTATCCAATCAAGTTTGTTCGACCACTTTCATTACGGTGGCCGTCAACATGATGTAACTTCTAGTATTACTTCGTATACCTCTTCTCCTTCTTGTTTTTGTCAATATTCATTTGTTTTCTTTTTATTACGTAATCACGTATTGTAAATTCGTGAACACTCATCAAAAATCGCTCCATTTACCTAAGAATAACCTGCTTCATACTTCACATTTTAATAACTCTATTGATTATCTACACCATTATTTCTAAAACATCATCTTCATGAATTACCTAAAATCTATGATCAATGTTCACACCCCCCCCCCACCACCACTTGATTAGTATTTTGATTGGATTTTAAAACTAGAGCCCAAGACGAAAACCTAATTGAAAAGGAATATATTTTTTCGCCCAATCAGTCTTTTTCTAAATACTGAAATAGTCTATCAACTATTTATTTAAGGCTTATTTGTAACGATTGTCACATGATATATCATATTTTCCCTCTTGGTATTGATTAACTAGACACGTAGTCTACTACGTGTCCATTTGATCTAAGTTTGTTGGCTTTATTACTGAACTGCAAACTGACTGCTCATTGTTTTCAATACTGAAAGTTCACTAATAAAACAACTAACTCGTGTTACCTCTTTGTTGTGTATCATATATTGATTTTAATCAATCATCTGATAGAAAAACTTCAATGTTTGAAGTGACAGGTGTGCATTTTAATTAGTTATAAGAACAGTAACACTGCAATACTAACTTGTTGTGTCTGTATTTGACAGTTAGAGACCTAAAAATTCAGTGCAACTTAATATCTTTGTTACAGGTTCAATGTGATTAAAGTTTGAGCATGATGCGATTTAGTACTGAATACTCAAACAGTGATGCAATTAACCAACCCTCCGACGCTTTAGTTTGTTACCCTTAACTCAGCCATTAGTAAACAAGAACCAAACTAAGCAGGAGGAAGGTGAACACATCTATTTTCACTCCGATTGGATATGCTTATCTGAAACACTGGGGTCAGGGTTCAATTCTAGTCGATGCACTCAACTTTTCATTGGCCAACACACTCACCAAAAACTGCCGGCTTGTTACTGCTCATTCTCGTACAGCACAAATTGTGCTTCATCTCCTGAGTTCTCTCGTACTTCTGACAATCCTGGCTCTCATTGAAACTCGAATATTTACTTCTGTCTATCATGTAACTGACAGAATTCTAACCTTGTTTTTCTTGTAATTCAGCTAGTGTAATTCTAGGGCTAGTAATAATATGCTGAGAGGCTAGTCTACTATTAGAGCCGTAATGAGTTGACAGTTTTTGTTACGAGTCTGTTGGTCTATGAGAAGCCGAATGTGTCTACTGGGAATCGAACTCATACCACCCGCGCTGCCGGCGAGTTTCTCATCGGTTCGGAGGGGAAACAGATATAGTCAGTTTCTTTCTGCTTAGTTTTTTCTTACTTACTAGTGGTTAGATTCAGCACCAAATTAAAATATCGGGTGGTTGGTTAATTACGTCACTGTGTATGAGAGAGGGTGGATTTGTAGGTTAGGGTTAGCCATGTAGTAGCCATGTAGCCATTCATGTAGTTAGGGGAACCGGATTTGGAATTTCGTGAATGTTCGAATTCTCTCATTTACACTCCGTTTTGATATAAGTCCTCTATATCTTACTAATCTTCTCTGTCTATTTCTTTGATTCTTTTCATTGATGGATTTGTACTTGTCTACTTCTGCTGTTGTCGATATGGTGTAAAGAAAAGTATTCGTGCACCTGGAATTCCACTGTTTATCACGACTAAAATAATATCCTAGCGCACTGTTGTAACTACCTCACAGGAAATGTATATGCCAAGAAAGGCTAATGAATTCACTCTCATTACATTGTAAAATTAGGTTGTATTATGTATTCACTCAAATTTAGCGATACCATTAATTTCCCGGATAAGTTGATGAATATTAATATATTATCTGCATTAATTGTCTAGTTGTTTACAACATTGTCCTGTTTGTTTTTAAACAGCCTCCGCAATTAACAGAAGAACAGTTAGTTGAACGACTTAATATTGAAGGCAAAATGATCATTAATAAACAGGATCCAAATCGTCCTCGCTTCACATTTCAAGAACTTCGTAATGTACTAGCTGAACGCAATGAATTGAAGTCACGTTTAATTGAAGTTGAAGAAGAATTGTTAGTTTATAAAAAAGCTGGGTACGTTGTCTTTTTCATATTGTCCATTGTATTTTACGAAGAGTTAACAGAATGATATCGATTAGTTTTGTGATGCGATCGTTACTTTAATTTTTGTTAAATGATACATTTTAGCACGTGTGCGAGGTTGTCACTTACCTAACAACCATCTACTGGATTCACATTTACCTTGAATGAAATATTTTTTCTGTTGGTTGGGATAATTCAGCCCTTTGGGTGAGACTGACTGGCAAAATGAACGTAGAACCTCGGACACAGGTGCATCGGCTCAAGCTGCTACGCTCCATAGTAGTTCACAAAGAACAGGTGGAAAGAAAAGAAGTAATGCCAAAGTATACAATGTTGTGTGAGAGAATTAACTGTTTGAAGATAACAGTTAGTGGGAATATTCACGCTTTAGTAGATGTCAAGGAGTGAATAAATCTGCGCCATAGTGACCGATATCTAGCCATGTCACCCATTGTCCTCAACCACTGATTCTTTTCTTCTCGGGGACCGTAACCAGGCAGTCTAAATCTCCTCACATAGCTCAAACCAACAGTAAAAGACTTCATCGACTAGTGCTACGCCTTGATATGGCCACTCTGAACCCTTTTCTCACTTAGTCTAACTTCCCCTAGCATGGGACGTTGAGGTATGCGGTAGTTTGTTATGTGCAGTACATGTCCAAACTATCTCAGTCGTCTCTGTGGAATAAATTTACTTCCAACCACAAACGAGCGAAACAGTTTTTCAGTATTTAGGTCACCTTGATAGGATAGTTTCTAGTTACCAGTTTCAGTCAGTATTATCAATACTGGAATCTATTTGGTGACTTTCTCGACGCCATCAACAGTAACGAGCAGATCAAAGTTTGTAGTCTTGACATTTTGGTTTCGAAAGAATGTCTCGATGGAATTTCACAATTAGATCACATCTTATTGTTTCATTTTAGTCACGAACTGAGAATCGCGCAAACAAAATATGCTACTGACAAGCATCAGTAGTTTTAAACCACTCACGTCGATCACTAGTACTCAGTACCTAGATCAACCTGATCCGCTGATTGGCGTGGGTGGCTTACAACTACTCATTTCAACCAGTACACCTCTGATACTCGCAGTCTTGACACCATTTTCGGTGTCAAGCATATGATACTATGTAATTTTCAATATTTTATTTTTCACAGAGAACCACGGTGAAATTTCATAATTGGATCTCATTTACTCATGATCCTGACTCACTATGAACTATATATTTTGAAAACACTTATTTTAGTTTTCAGTCTATACGTCAGTGCAACTAGTTACCATAAATTCGTACACAGCAACAGGGAAATTCTGATCAGTGATGTTTTTGTGGAGATACAACTTAAAGTCCGCATATCTTGATTTGTTTGTCTTGCTTGGCATTTTTAAAAAAGATTAATACTTAAAGAAACTCAATTTGGAGGTTTTCTGGGATTTATTTATTGATTTCAAGTCGGCATTCATCATGGACTGATATCAGTTGGAGAAGCATTGGAAACCTGGAGGCACTGGAGAGTAGCTGTTTCGTCCCAGTATGGGACTCTTCAGCGGTGCACACCTGCGACCTGGATAGGGATCGAACCCATGGCCTTCAGGTCCCGTGGCCAGCACTTTACCATTTGGTCGCTGGATTGGAATACAGCGGTCCAGATTTTCTACTTTTGTCAGTTCACGATATAGCGTAACCTCCATCCAATGTCGTCGTTGAGTAACTGTCTTTTTATTGGTGTTACTCACTTAGCTTAAATGGTGAATAAAGGAGCCTTTTTTCCAGCAACAGAACTGACGAGTTAAAGGCGTACGTCATTCTTTCACCATCTGTTTAAAATAATATCCAAGTGACTAATGGGGTCTTAGTTAATTTACAGTTTTGACCTCTTTATTTTCATCTTCAAAGATACACCCCCTCCTTGTTTCAATAGGCTTAGCTACAATCGTTAAATTTATGAGGACATTACCATTTCAGAAGCCATAAAACTTCAACATGATATCTGAGACTAACTGAATTTTCAGACTTTGGTTATCACGTAAGACTTGATTATCAAGTCGTTTACTGTCTCACATGGTCAGTTCGTTTGCGTAAAGCAGTCTACACAGAGTTAATTGTAACCACAATATCTAAACGGTAAGTTTGCTTGTATCAGCACTAATTAGTGCAAGTTTGAGTGTAGCGTCGGAATGTGTTTCCTCAAAATTTTAGATACCGCAAACAAGCAGAAGAGACCTAGGTGAAGCAAATCTTACTAGCTGGTTCGCAACGTTTAGTGCTACATACTACATTATGAGTAACTAAATGTTGTCTCTGGATTGGATTGATTCGTGATGATTGGTTGATTTAACCACTGGTAACGATACACAACATTACAACAATCGTATTATGATACTGTAAATCACATTGAATTTGCAAAGTTTAAAGCCTTACAACCATTAACAGCATTTGGTTAGGTTTTCACTGCATTTACGTCAGTTTTTTTCAATGAAAATAAGTTTATGATTTGATTATCTAAGATAACCTTAGTTTGGCTGACTAGTATTTGTACTGGGTGATGATTGAAGGTGAGATGAAAATCTGGACCGCAGCTGGATTCAAACCAGCGACCACCGGGTTTGACAATGTTTCACTAAGTTATTATAATCGTTAACGTGCCTACCGGGTAAATTTAAATAGCTGTTAATCAATTATCCATCTTCTTAATTGAAACTGTAAAGAAGGTCATATTCTGCTGAGGAAGCTTTAGGATTCACACCAAAACGTTCAAAACAGTTTTGTTTTGACTTTCCAAACACATTAAGATTACTTGTATAATAATTAAATCAAACTCAGCACTCAACCTCTTCCAGGACATTGGTAGCAACTACGAGTTAGTGGATTTATGTAAACAGACTTGGGATTTCGATTCTGTTTATTTTTTTAGAGTTTTGCTCGTCTTCATTAACTGAAAACTGTTCCTCATAGTGAATAACAATTAAAAAGCAGAAAGGATGAACAGTCAAACTGAATGTTGTGCATACCTATCACTGGTATTTATAGGACAAGTAGGTCTCCTCGTAACAAACTCACTACTAGGCCCATACACCGATTCAATTACACTTTGTAGATAGAAGTGATCACCAAAGCAGATTTCGGTCAATTTACTGACATATTTCTGGTGTGGGTTTAAAGATATCTATAAACTCCTGACTTAAGTTGTTATTTTACTGCCTTTCACTTGTTTTTTGCTACTGAGTACCTGTTCGAACCTGAAGGCATTTAGCAGAAATCTGAGTATGTGTTTGGCCTGAGCTTTGCACCTCTCAAATCTGATATAATCCTTCAAGATTGTCCTGCAACTACTCTCAGTTTAAGGACAGGGCGTGAAGTGGGGGAATGCGTTGACTAGTTCACTTAGGAATTCGCATCATCTCGAACCGACTGGTTGCTGTCGAATTCTCACCCCGCATACAGAAAGCCCGTTCAGCAGTTGCCAACTTGGGTCATCTCTGGTGCCAACTGGTAAAATATCTGACTACCTTATGTGGTTGTGAACCAACTATGGGTGCCGAGCTAACACCTATCTCAGTGTATGGTGTTATGGGAATTAGTATTAAGTTGGAAGCCGAGGGTAACCTGAACAAGATGTGATGCCAACCCATAAATTCTCTGGCTATTGGTCTGAACCATGTAAGGGGGTGTAAGCCATCTGACTGGGGTTCTGGCGATCACAGGAATCAAGGGTTGTAGAACCTTGGTGACATAGCTGAAAATCGGTCACAATAGCGCAGATGTATTCAATTTCTGACGTCTTATAAAGCTTGAACATTTTCATCAACTCTGATTATCCAATTCCTTCTCCCTCCATACACTTTAGCCTACGTTAATATGTGCTTCTTATACACTTCCTTATACTGTGAAGTGTGGCAACTTGAATGGATCCATTTGTGTGCAAGGTTCTACCTTGATTTTGTCTGTCTCTCTCTGACTATTTTTAAATCCTGAGATTTCAGAGCTTGTTAGTCAGGTCCTAAAAATTACCCAGGCGGAAATTAATTGCACTATGTTTTGTAATGTTCACTTATCTATAGCTCTGTTGTAACGCGCCTGGCTGTTGAGCCATTTGAATGACGTAATATCATTTAGCTTCGATAGAATTAATTGGATTTTCATATGTAAATAAACAGGTCGCATTGATCTGGCCGACTGGTATTGTTTGGTTGAATGATTTGATTGACCAACTAACATTCAGTGCTGGGAAGGATGATTAAAGCCATTCTTTTCTCCCTGGTTGATGGTCTTTACTTCAGCTAGTACAACCAATATCTTTCAAGCATAGGTTATATTAGATTGGAATTCGTCATGGACTGACATCAGTTGGAGGAACATTGGAAACCTGGGAGCACTGGACAGCCACTGTTTCGTCCTGGTATGGGACTCAGCAGTGCGCACCTATTACCCCGCCTTGCCAGGGATTGAACTCAGGACCTTCAGATCCCATGGCCAGCACGTTACTACTGAGCTATTGGATCAGAATCCAATGGTCTACGTTTCCTACTTCTGTCATTTTACGATATAGCGCGACCTACGTCCAATGTCATCGTTGACTAACTGTCCTCATGTTCGACTTGGTTGACTCCACTGTTCATAACTCCTCATCGGAACTTCGATAATCACCTCTCGAAGCTAGTCATCAATGATGTCTAGATTAATTGTATCTGGAGGTTTCTGGAGGAGTCCCATACTGGCACGAGACAGCTTTCCAGCACTCTCAGGTTTCCAATATTCTTCCAACTGATGTCAGTCCATGATGAATTCCAACCTAAAATCAATTAGTGAACCTCCACAAACCTCCAGATAGAATAGGTTTTCATCAGTATATTCTGTTTTGTATGTTTATACTGTGATTTCCGACTCTGAATTTTCTAACCCTTCGGTCGGGTGTTGGAGTTCCTCACCTCAGATATCTAGGAACAAGTAATCTCTTTTAGATAGTAAATGGGGTAAAGCGAATGAAGTCATTCAATTGAAAGTTTCTATTTTATGAGCTGACTATTTCATCATACATTTATCTGATTTGCTATATTACCCTATGAATATTATTTATCCGTCAGAAATCCTAATCGTCCCCGTGTAAAACGGTGGTAAGTTGAATCACTTTTCGTCATTCAATCTTGTCATAATAATAACAATACTAACAGCTTAATGAAAGTGAAATTTTGTCGAATTTACATCTCATCATCTTCAAGTGTCTCTCATTCTATCGAAATTTAATGGTGTTCCATATCACATATGGTCAATTTTAGTTTGTGACCAACTGTAGTAGGTATTAATTTAGTGAGTTGAAACTTGATTCATTTCTAACCTGTGCATCTTGTAACTATACATACCTCTGAGTGTGCTGCACGATCTGGTACACAAACACATACTTGATCAGTGATCTTACACTATACCATATCCATGGTATCCCATCTTGGTTTTGATGCTTTCCTAATTCGAATTGTCTTCATTTTTAACTTCTAATTGAGCATTCGCACAAATATGCGGTTTGCTGGGTTAGGATTTATCAAATTTTGTTTGAATGCTCTCAAGTGTTGAGTATATTTCACTACTCATGTGTTTGTTATATGCAAAACTTCATGTTGAAGTGTATAATTATTTTGGTGATTGAATGATTTATTGTAATTCCGATAGACTAAAATAAAAATTCTGTATTGAGTGTTGATAATAACTTTGTCGATATTATCTCTGCTTTTGTGAATAAATATTCGATTGACTGTTGTAAGAAATTATCTAAAAATGTTTTCCACATCAAATCATATCTCAATTCCGTAAATGTTTATTATTTTCTCATAATAAATAAGAGTATTCTACGCTTAGTTTAGTGTTTCGGTGTTGATTTATTCGTGATTGTCGTCGGTTCAACTTCATTGTAAGTGGGAATCAAAAGCTGCTGAAGATAATTTTAGCATGAATCTTTTGACTGAACTTGGTAGGATAACATGTGTGTGGCACTAGAGAAGATGAACATATATAAAGAGTAAAAATTTCAGGTGGAGCTGCAGCTCATTGATTTAGGAGCCACGGGTTCGAACACCGTTCCACTTACCGGGATTCGGGGACTCAATTGGTATCATTAGTCCTCACATATTAGTGTGATTCTTTACGTAATGCTCAAATATGCACAAGTTTGTTGTCTGCATTTCGATTTCGAAGGTGTAGTGTTGAATATTTTGAGTCATTCAGTGAAGAGATCTGGTTAACTCTGGTTTTGTACTTGTTAACACTCATCTATAAGGAGTATGTGCAATCCTGAGGAAATTCGATTTCCCTCAAATATAAGAATTTGTATACCTCAGTGCCGAAGGTTGGGTTTGTAAACTAAGCTCTGTAGGTTATGACTGACCCCCACCCCCAGCATTGTATCAATCAACAGATGTTGATCAGGTTTTCTGAAGTGCAAATAAACTGAACTAGTAGACTTCCGTTTCTGCACTGAACAGAATGCAGAATAAGGATAAACTTTTAGTACGTTGTATTGCTTTATATCTTAAGTAGTGTAGTCAAGTAATTGCTTACTTTATCCATCGATTTGAAAGGTTATTCTAGGTATCGATGTCAGTTGTTGTGTGGTAGAAGATTTATTTATTGTTTTGGACATGCGTAAATGAAAAATGGTATTGGTATTATTTGTAACCCGATGAGAGGAAGCTTAAAAAGATATTTTCAAATATGTTTTTAGCTGAGTCAAATACGAATGTATTTTTTTACATGGATTTTTCTTCATGAGTAACTTATCGTTCATGATGATAGATATTTTAAAAGTCCTCATCAATTCTTTGTTTATCGTAATTCTTGTACGTTTTGTACGAGTTAACTTTTGCACTGCAGGGTACTTTGTAGTGATTTTCTTCTTAGCTATTTGAGAGGTGTCTATGCATGGATATATCTTGAAGTTATCTTTTCTTTGACTTGACTCGTTGGTCACAGTCTGCATCTGTGTGCCTTTAAAAAGCCTAGTTTGACTCAAATACAGTAGTATCGTGTAAACAATACTACTTCTACCTACTGCTCATAGATTTAAGAGACCGTTAGCTATTGATTTACCACCGTTGTCTAGCTGAATGAAATCGCTGTAGAGGTATAGTCATCTCATCCGTAATGCGAAAATCCTTAAGATGATCTGACCAAGGTATGACATAAATGCATACAATTACTAGTTTATGATCTGATTTCTATGGATGAGTATGTGCTTTATGTTGAATGTTTCGAAGTTGAACGAAATCTTTTTCAGTACGTGTAAAACATGTGACCTTAAATATATCTTCATGACAGAAATAATACTTCCACTTTATCTTGCTATGAAATCTGAAATCATTTATATCCTCTAGTTTATTCTTCATCATTTCTGGTCTACTTTTGTTATTTTGTATTCTTATTATCAGTTTATATTTATTGAGTTGGACCGATATGCATGTGTTCAAAGTTCCAGTCAATTAAATCTGTTAGTTAGTATCTTTTTATCAGTTGCCCTGGTTTTATTTGTGTAAAGCAAACTTTAATTTCTTATTCGCCTATAGCCTAAAAACCTAGTACTGCTATCGGGATTGCATTTATTGATCATATTTGATGATTGCCCTACTGATAAAAAGTCGCAGGTAGAATCTACAATGAAAAGAAACATTTTTGGGGCAATTTATTAGAATTGTTTGAAAATTGCACTTAATTTCTAGCTCTAAAGAAGATTTAAAAAAAACTCAGTTGTATTGAGTCTATTCCTGTCGATCAAAGATTCTCGATTTTACCAAAAGAGAAGTTCACACATATGAGGCTACTTTTATTCCATGTTTTCATAGTTTATCTAATATTGTCATCATCATCAGATCCTTTCGACTTCGAGGTCAGCCGCAGTTGTTCAAATGCTCCTCATTTCTTTCTTGGTTTTAATTTTGGGGACTGTCTTTACCTTTTTTCAACTTCTTTTATATTATGCTTTTATAGTTCCTTTTAGTTTTGCGGTTTTGTTTGTACTGCTCACAAGTTTAGTGAATTGAATCAATATAGTGTTATTTTATGCATAGTTTTTGACATACTTTGAATGTTTAATTGAATGATTTTGTGAAAATGCTTACTTTATTCCTTAATAGTTGTCTCCTTGATGTACGAACCTACACCGACTGGAATGGCTTCGATATCTGTTCTGCATACCAAGCCAACATATACCTTGAAGTGTGATGTTGACCGATGTAGAATTAGATTGAAAGAAGATTATAAGTGAACAAGTCAAGATGTAACAAACTAATCCACGAAGTCTCTGACTGTGGGTCTGAGCCATCCAGTAATTTGTAGGGATGTCTAGCCTGGGTCCTCGAGACGATAGATATTAATGATTGTGAAATCCTCATTATTATATAACTGAAAACTGATCGTAGTTGTGTAGATGCATATATTTCCGTATTATCGTCGAAATTTCAAGCAATTTCACTAACACCTACTTATCCTGCCTTCTGTAATGTTTTTTTGTCTTCTTTATCATTGTTCTTTCCCGACATACTTTGTCTTCCCAAGCTCCTTAGAAGTGTAACAACTTGAATTGATGCACGCATCCATGTCAGGTTCCGCGTTGGTCTTTTTGTCTGCCTCTGTCATGTGGGAACGAAACCGACTATTCTAATCACTTTTTGTTGTTGTTATTCTTTTGTTTTCTAATGAAGGAAATATTTGTATATTTATTTATTTACTATATATTTATGTACGTATCTATTTATTATGGATTATTATGTATTTATTTATTACGCATCACAAGTTATAGTAAATTTCTGAGGTGCTTTCAACCCAGTAACTGACCAGCAGACTGTTCACCTACAGATCTCTAGGTGCTGGGTTGAAATCCATTAATGTGGACTTTTTACGATCGTCAAACTAGGAAAAAACTTGTATTCATTGCTATCTGCTTTTCAATGCTTCTTTAACCAACTTCCTTTTTCGATAAGAATTATGTACAAACCAGTTCGCTGTTTGCAAGCCGCACAGTATAAAACCCTATGCCTATTTTGTTTTCAGTATCGCATAAAATCTTTTTTAATTTATTTAAAAGGGATGAAGCTCCTCCAGTAGAAGGTCCTATTAATCGAGAACCGGATGAAAAGCTCTATGCAACTCCTAGGTCAAATTTAAGGGTCAAAAGATTGTAAGTTATACTGCTAAACAGTCTTCATACATTTACTATTGTTATTATGATTATTATTCGAAAGTTTTATTGATGGCATCTATCTTATAGGAATCTGAAAAATGCCTAAACTGTCATGATTAATTTATCTTGTGATAATAAAGAAAAGCAATACATTTTTGTGTGAAATCATGTGAGTTTATTTACCTTTAAGATATGCCAACACTCAGATGTATTATCTGTTCTAGGAGATTTGGATTTCGGCGATGGTTTATGTTTAATGTCTTGTCGCATAAACTCGAAGATCTACAGGCGGAAACCAACAAGTTGACAGAAGAGGTGAGGCAGCGAAGACGCCACTTCCTTCACGTGAACGTAGAGAAGACAGAGGTGATGAAGATACCCAACCAACAACAGCATCAACAACAAGCACCAATCGCCATGAATGGGAGAAACCTAAAGAAAGTAGTAGTCTGTTTCACCTACCTAGGCAGGACAGCATCGTTTCAACTACAGGCGGCGGTGACAGATGAGAATGTCAAAACCAGGATCGAAAAGACAGCAAGACAGGCCTTCATAAACCTGGAATCAGTGTGGAGATCTACTGCACTTCACTCAGCATAAAGAACAACAACAACGTCAAGTCAGTGCTTCTATATGGTTCAGAAACTTGGCGCATTGCGAAAGGCATTTCCAACAAACTACAGACATACATACATGAACAGCTGCCGCCTACGCCCACTCCATACTAAAGATCAGATGGATGGCCAGAATAGTAAGAATAAGCAACAAAGAAATCTAGCTGACGACGAACCGACCGACAACCCATCGCCCAACAAATATGCAGAAGAAGGTGGAGGTAGAGATGAATTGGGCCTACACTGAGAAGATCGATTGGGGACATCACGTGCCAGATCAGCCCTCGAATGGAACCCGCATAAGAAACGACGAGTTGGGCGTCGGAGGGTGACGTGTAGGAGATGGTATGAGAAAGAAATGAAAGGTTATAGGCAGTAGTGGAGCCAGGTTGAAAAGACTTCAGAGAAGAGAGTGAAATAGCGACGTGCTACTGAAGCCCTATGTTCTACTAGAAACCCAAGGGACAAGTAATCACAATAATAGTAATAATAATAATAATAATAATAATAATAATGGTTTTATTTTGAGTCGCCTTCTTTTTATGTGGTCGAATGAAGTCACAGTTGATGACAATTAAGCAAATTGGTGTGCACATGATGATAATAATACCAAGTGTCAAGTTAAATACTTAACTGTTATGCCTTCTGGAAGGAATAAACTCATGTTGATATGACTAACATATTGATAAAAGGGAGTTTAGATTATTAGCTCATTACTCAGTACAAGGCGATGGTTGTATGACGAGTCGACCATCTACTTACTTGACACTGGTTGATGGTTGAGAGTTGAATGGCTGAAACAATAGGTCATACACTCTATGTTTTGATAGGCAGCATTATGAATACGGGCTAAGTTTTCCCTACCATCATATATATTAAATAAATAAATTATCAATTTGACTATCTGAGGTAGTGGTTTGGCAGACTAGTTAGTATTCATACTTGGTGATGATTGAAGATGGAATGGAAATTTGGATCATGGCCTGATTTGAACCAGCAACCCCTGGGTTTCCGGTCCGGTGCTCTACCAACTGAGCTAGAAGGCTCGACTCCTGACCAGATTTTTTACTTCACTTCAATCACCAAAGGTTTCGCCAAGAGTGAAGTAAAAAATCTGGTCAGGAGTCGAGCCTTCTAGCTCAGTTGGTAGAGCACCGGACCGGAAACCCAGGGGTTGCTGGTTCAAATCAGGCCATGATCCAAATTTCCATTCCATCTTCAATCATCACCAAGTATGAATACTAACTAGTCTGCCAAACCACTACCTCAGATAGTCAAATTGATAATTTATTTATTTAATATATATGATGGTAGGGAAAACTTAGCCCGTATTCATAATGCTGCCTATCAAAACATAGAGTGTATGACCTATTGTTTCAGCCATTCAACTCTCAACTTGTGACTCTTTTGTTCAAATGCCACTGCACCTGCTGAAGTTTAGGAGTTTAGCATTCAGTCTAACACATTCGGTGTGATTCATAGCTTAATAGACCGACGTATGAGCAATTACTGATTTACGCTGCGTTATTTCATCTACATAATGCGTTGTACTAAATTCTGTCGAGCATAAATGATTAGTAACTGATACAGTTATATTGAAATCCATTTACACATATGTGCCAGTACTTTAACAGTCTGGAAGATCTGCTCAAGCGTGTTTTCAAGTTCCTCCCTCATAAACTCCTGCTTTTCGATCAACTGTAATATGATAGATACACACCGAACAGTAACTGTATCCCAAATCTTATAATTTCTACGACTCAGTGTTTTCGCCTATAAAGGCCACTTATGAGTACCTTTACACATGCGATCGCTAAATCTTACATCTTTTAACTTAGTTTACTGAAGTAGAACTACACTGGAAGAATGGTCAGAGTAGTGAAGTCAAAATGTAGCGTCAGTATATGAAGTGTCTCAAAGTTTTTCTGTTCCATGTAGGTAAGTTTGTATTCCCAACGTGGAATACCCGATACATTTCTGTCACTGTTATAATCGTACATCTTTATTCTCGTTATCTTCTGTCTGCATCTTACTTTTTTTCCTATTTCCGTTGACGTCAATCATCGTTACTTCACCCCCGTCTCCTTTTGACCGCCACCTCGTTGTCTGTATGCAGGCTGAGGCGATTATGATTGTCATGTGAATAGACTGAGACCTAGGTTACTAATCTCTCTGTGTGTGTCTGTCTGTCTTCAATCTCCTTGTAATCTTATTTCTCATCTTCCTTTATCGTTTCGATTTTCAATATTCATTATTTTCTTAAAATTCTCTCCGGTTCCTACGGACTCAGTGTATCATATTCAATGATAAGTCATAAATACTCGACGGACACATGGAAACTGATTGATCATGGAGAGGAATATGGTGAAGCAGAAGATAAACTAGTGCAAGGATGAACAACGATAAGAGGAATGAACACAACCTATAAAACACTACACTGGACAAAGAAGTGAAGAAGAGTGCGCGGAAAGACAAAAGACACTTCCACGACACATTGGCAAGTGAAGCAGAACAGGCTGTTGGTAGGAGGGATAGAGACCTGACAACATTGTATCAAATAACCAGGTTACTATCCATCTGGGAGAGAAGAGATCAACACATATGAAACCAATAACAGATGATGAAGGAAATGCAATTATCAAGGAGGCGAAACAAAGGAAACAATGGGCTGACCACTTCAAAAAGATCTTGAGTCGACCACCACCTGAACTTCGTCCAGAAATACCACCTGCAGCCGAGCCACAGAACTACCATTTAACACATGCTGTACAACAAAAGTAGAAGTCCTGAATACCATGACGTTGTTGAAATGCGGAGAAGCAGCATGACCAGATGGAATCCTGCCAGAAGCACTGAGAACAGACTCAGAAACAACGGTGGACATGCTCACACCACACCACTATTGCAGAAGGTGTGGAAGGAAGGGAAGGTATCTGCCCATTGATTGGAAGAAGGGTTACCTTGTGAAACTGCCTGATGAGGGCGATCTAAGCCATTGCAAGAACTGGCGTGGAATCACTCTCCTGTCCACCCCAAGCAAAGTATTAATCCGCATCATCTTGGAGAGGCTAAAGGATGCTCTGGATTCAAAACTACGACCAGAACAGGCTGGCAGGCTTCAGGAAGTACAAATCATGTGCGGATCACATTGCAAGGCTACGCTGTGCATCATCATAGAAGAGAGTATAGGATGGCAGTCAACTGGATCTCTACCTCGATCAACTTCATGGACTTTGAGAAGGCCTTCGACAGCGTCGACCGAGAGGTAATTTGGCAGGCAGTTGCTTCAACACTACGGAATACCGCAAACCTTTTTCAATGTCATTCAACAGCTAGCTATATGAAGACGCCACATGCCGGCCAAGTAATTCACAATGGACAGCTCAGCTGAGTGATGCTTTTGAAGTGAAGACAGGAGTGAAACAAGGCTGCCGCCTACTATCACCCATGATATTCCTGATTGTAGTGGAGTGGAGTGGATCATGTAACAGAGAATTGTGAGGAGTGAGAAGAGGGTGATACGCTGTGCTGTGGAGAAGATGATAGAGGATTTGGATTTCTCCGATGACTAGTGTCTAGTGTGGCACAAAGTCGAAGATCTACAGGACAGGCGAAAACTAACAAGTTGATAGAAGAGGCGAGGCGAGGCGAGGCGAGGCAGCGAAGACGGGACTTCAAGTGAATATAGAGAAGACGGAGGTGATGAAGATACCGCACCAACAACAACAAACTCCCATCACCATTAATTGTAGAAACCCAAGGGAAGTAGTAGTCTGTTTCACCTACCTGAACAGAGCAGCATTGTTTCAACTACATGTGGCACAGGCACAGGTGAGGGTGTCAAAACCAGGTTCGGAAAACCAGCAAGACAGGTTTTCAATAATGTGTGTGGAGATCTACTGCTCTCAGCACAAAGAACAGTATCTGGATTTTCAACACCAATGTCAAGTCAGTGCTTCTATATGGTTCAGAAAGTTGGTGTGTTTCAAAAATCATTTTCAACAAACTACAGACATTCATTAACAGCTGCCACCTAAGCTCACTCGATACTGCAGCTCAGATGGCCAGAAAGAATCAGCAACAAGGAACTCTGGGAACGAACCAACCAAGAAGCTATCGCTCAACAAATATGTAGTGGAAGGAAGTGTAGATGGATTGGATTGGGCAGACCATGAGAAGGCCAACTGGGGACATCGTGCGCCAGGTCAGACCCTCGAGTGGAATCCCCATGGGAAGCGACGAGTTGGGCGTGCGAGGCGAGGATGACGTGGAGGAGATCGTGCGAGGAGGAAATGAATGCTTGAGGGCAGTCGTGGAGCCAGGTTCAAAAGATTGGAGATAACAGAGTTCACTAGAGACGTGCTACTAAAGCCCTATGTTGCATTAGGAACCCAAAGGGAGAAATAATAATGTAAAAATATTGACTATACTTGTTTTATTTTTAGTGATAATGAAGATCATTGCGACAAGTATGCAATCTTTATCAATTAAAGCATAAATTTTTATTGCATTTTCTGGTTGATTTATTTCTAGACGGTACCGTTAGCCGTCACTTGTTGGGTTTGATTCACAGCGCGCTTTCATGGGGATAGCTTCGTCCGTCACGCAATTTCTACCCTGGAAACATCATAGCGTGGTGATAATGCCTCAAAATTGCTAACATTGATACAGATGCACATACTTTTTGTGTCCCCGTAAATTTCGAACATCTCACATTCACTATTCACTCATGTAATCTTTTTGTATGCTAGTGCCTTGTCACTTTTGAAAATATTCTCTTACTGTTCTATTCTAGGTTGTGAGAAATTTAGTCGATGCATTTGGTAAAAGCTTTCATTGTATTCGGTAGTTTGAGACTTATTTCTCAAATTCGTTCCAGATTGATAAATATTCTTAAACTTTAAGAGTTTGATAGATTTTAGAAACTTGTTTGTCAGGTTCTCAGCGTCTTTCTGACCCTCATTAACCGTATCTCCATCCCAAAGGTAGTATCGTAGAATTACTGATAGCATCTTTTACATTTGTATGTTGATTAAATGGTTGACCGTATTTTAATATTTAGCGTATCATATTTATTTGCAAATTGAACTGCCACGCAGTATTACCAGGTCCTATGTTGATTTTATCCGTCTATCTGTTTAATTCATGTTTTTGCCTATTCTCATTTGTTTTTCGTTTCTTCCTTATTTCTGTCTACACTACAGTTTTGAGAGTTTACTGTCCAAATTAAGTCGATAACTGGCTCCCACTATGCATATTTATTTGTATACGGTAAGTTCTCATTTGTTTAATTTACTTTTACTCTACACCATGCTATATATATCAAAGTCTAGAAACGCTGGTAAATGCTACCAACTATTTTGTTTTGTTAATGTTTATGACGCAAAGAAACATAACTATTTACGTTTTGATCTGCGGTATACATATGAACGATCCAACGCTGCAACGCGAAACAGTTTACAGTAGAATGATTACTTCTCAACACTTCATCCAGCGGACACCAGAAGAAGAAGACAATGAGATTGGAAGTATAGGAATCAGACATCCCTGACGATTTATTCAGTGATGTTTCTAATAAAATCTTTTGTCTAGTTTTATGCATTATTAGAAATGCAACCATAGGATGTAATCAAACCAATAAAAAACAGTTTATCTCATCTCCCAATGAACTGACACTAAAATTTCAGCATTTTTGATTTACATGGTTTCACATCCTTTTTTTGTACCGGTTAGGTGAGTTGTGTTAAGTAGGCCCTTTATTATGATGATTAATCTAGATAAAGTTGTGTCAGAAATATATGGTCAGTCAACGAAAAAGCTTATGATTGAAAAGTTTTTTAAACATGGATTTATTGAGATAGAGAAGTTAACATATAGAGTATTGCGTATTCTTTAGTCATATACAGTGGAACTGCAGTCGTTGGTTTGAACCCCGCTGCACCAACCGAGGTTTGGACAGCCAGGCAGTATCATTAGCTCTCATACAATAAGTGTGTATGTGTGGATGTGAACAAGATTGGTTGGCGGTTTCCGATTTTTTTTGGAGTTATATACTACTGGGTTCTTTGAATTTCAATGGTTAATATCGGCCTCATGATGTAAATTGGTGAGGAAAAATACTTTTTAACCAACTTTAGTTGTATAATACAAATTGTTTTCGGGTTGAATTCCTGAAAATCTCTTATTTTCTTTGAAGGTAATGCTGTGCTATTGATGGTTACCATAAAGGCGAAGATGAGTTTACAATCAACTGACTTTAAATATTTGTTTTATTTTTGTGAATTTCATCATATTCGTTATTTATCTCAAGCATTCGGATAGTGTGATTGAAGAAGTGTTGAATATCCATTCCTTTTTATGTCTTTCTTTTCATAAACGGCATTAATTTCCTTTCAGATGTTTTTCTCCTTACTATTTATGTGGTTTCCTTGAATCCCTTTCCGGTTAGAAATAAATAATTTCATCTTTACTGCATTTATACTACTCAAATGACTACTTACATATATATGTACACCTCTTTGAAGATGATTTAATTGACAATCGTATTATAAGTCGTTTTATTCTTAAACTTGTGAAGTATTCTGCGTCCTCATTATTTTGTTTACTGCGATGATTTTTAGTCGTATACTTGGTGAACAAATGGATGCTATCGATGACAAAATGTGGTCATTGTTTAGCTGTTATACAGAAAAAACATTCCATTTCTCCCGCAGTATATATATATATATATATATATATATATATATATATATATATATATTGTTTACAAATATTAAGTTACAGATAAAGGGGAATCAACAAAAGCCTATTGCTTGCCTGTTACTGTAACATTGAACCAACCTCACTTCTGATCTCTTCTTTGGCGACCACTTTTTGTTCAACTCACCCTTGCTATAACTACCACCATGTCATTGATCTTTGGTTGATCGAAAACTGAGGTGTATCTTTTTGCTTCCAACTCTAGTTGTTTATGAATCTTTTATCAGTGATTTTCTTCAACCTTATTGAATCTTCTCCGCACTGTTACTTTCCTTCATTTTAACTATTTTCTCTTACCAGCTAGCCAAATCATGATTGTCTACATACAAAATTTCTGTACGTTTGTGGCTGATTCTGCGGTATTTTTTTTAATCACATTCCCATCCAAATAATTAACTGATTGTCTTTGATTTGATTTTTTCATTATTGCTTTTCAAATATATACCCATTTCTTTGAATTACTTCTTTCTTTTATCATGTTTTCATAAAGTGATGTGATTGGTTTTGTGTAGACCCCTGTATTGGTGCTGCTGAGTTGTGGTATTTTATGATCATTATTTGTCTGTGTAATTTTGATTATGTTGTTGATTCCGGACAATATTTTTGTTTAAACTCATGTACTTAAAGATTTTAGCGCTTAATTTATATTTTATTGTTTGTCTCTGTATGTGAGTGTACACGTACAAGTGTGACAGCAGAAAACAAAAACAAGGTTAATAATAATAATAATCGCTTTATTCCAAGCAATATGTATGACAGTATGAAATTCTCATCGTGTAATTTTTCAAAAAATTCACTCCCAGAACAATACTTTCAGACGAAACGGTTATTATAATAATAACAGTATTCAAGGCAATAATGTGAAATAACCAGCTGGTTCTGGATGGGCATCAGGTCTATAATGAAGAATCAACAGAAATGGGAGCGTAATTTTGATAGTAGCGGTTCATTCAGACGGTACAAAAATCTGCAACTCAAGCTGAGCATCTGATGAATAGGAATACGATGTACTTTTGTGCACCGAAAAGTTCATTTCCATATAACGTAACATTTTCCCCTACTTTGTTATTGACTCGAGAAACGAAGAGTTGGAAACAGTTTAAAGATGCGCAAGAGTACATGATATGTTCAAAGGACATAGTTGAATGATTAAAACAAATTGAAAGGAAAGAATTCGATAAAAAATGTTCGATGGATAAATTTGGTAGCCCAATGTTCAAGCAGGCCGCCGTGTATTAAAGCTTGTTAACAGAATCTGTCATAATCCAGTGGTGATAATGATAATATTCCTTATTTGTTTTAGCGTACTTACTTTCAAATATCTTTAACATGATACATTAAAAAAATAGCTAGACTAAAATTGGGCTCCACAAATCACTTCAGAGATGTTTAATTTTCATTACCCACAATGTTGTTATTCTATTTATAATGTGGCTCACAAATCAATCGTTAGCAAAGTACTTATCCAAGGTAGACAAATTCTCATTTCGGAACCATAAATATGTAATTATCATAGACTTTCCAAATGACACCTTAAAAGTGGAGATGAGTTTTAGCCTTCTAAGTAGCTTTCACAACGAAGATTGACCTCAGAGCACCTAGAAACGTCACAGTCAATTTCACTGTCCATGAATACACTAATTATAACGCTATATTTAAAATGACCTGTCCACTGGAAAATTAAATTGGAAAATTTTACATTAAGTGAGGTTGCATCTCTTAGTCGTGAATAATAGTATACGACTTTTGGCGTTACCAGTAAAACTAATCTACCATTTGTTCTATGCATTATCAGTGTTCTCAAGTCAACAAGTCCCAATGATTCTCCTTAAATATATAATCTTAAGGGAATAGCAAACTCACCTGGTTAACTAGTTAACTAGTTACTAGCCTCTCCTAAGCCCGGTTAAAGAGAGAAGGTTGGGTGTAGGGCTAGCAACCCTACCCCGTAAAACCGATCCAATCTCTGAAGAAATTTCAAAGCATAAAGAAAATATGGAAAATAAAAATAAACATATTCCTCGCTTTAATCGGAGAGACGAAAAGACGCCGGTTGCTGAAAGTCTTCGGGAAGCCAATTGGCCGATGTGTCTTCTCTCTCTCGATGAAAGCGAAAGTAAGAATGAAGACATGGAATGTCCACACCATGTATGAACCTACCAAGGCTGCCCAGATTGCAAAAGGGACGAGGAGGTATGGCATAGAAGTACTTGAAATCTACGAGAGCAGATGGAATGGAAGTGGACTCTCCAAACTGCTAACTGAAGAGTCAATAATCTACTCCGATATTGCCACCCAGACGAGAACCACGAGCACACTGAGTTCTGGAGTGGCTATCATGATGTTCCCTCCCAAGAACATCAAAGGCTCTCATACAGTGCGAACCAGTCTCCTCCTTCAAGATCAGGATCATGACAGCAAGATTCAAATCAAAAGGAAGGCAAGTTATAATCATTCAATGCTACGCTACACACCTACAAATAATGCGCATCAAGAGGCGAAGGAGGAATTCTATAGACAATTGCAGTCAGTAATAGACAAGATCCCACCCCAGTTGTCGACATCAAAATTCTAATGAGCGACATGAATGCCAAACTGGGAGAGGACAACACAGGAATAGAAGTCATCATGGGTCGAGAGGGACTCGGTGAAATGGACGAGAATGGAGAACTGTGGATTCAACGATTTGGTGATTGGAGGCGGTATGTACAAACATAAGGATATTCACAAGGCAGCGACATGGATTTCACCCTTCACCGGATGGACACACTAAAAGTCAGATCGACTTCATCTCCATCTCAAGAAAGAGTAGAAGCAGCCTACTGGACATATAATCAAGAAGTGGAGCAGATGTAGGTTCATACCATTACCTAGTGCGACGAACCTTCCAAATCAAGTTGAAAGCCTTGAAAGAAGTTAGTGATAGACCACAGTCCAAGTTCAACACTCAGGAACTCAAGCACAAAACTAAAAAGGAAATCTTCACGTCAGCCATCAGGAAAAAATGGGAGACATTGAGCAACATCCCTGAAAGATCGGGCGTGGAAGAACACCGGAACTCTTTCAAAGCTATGTGGAAAGAAACCTGCATAACCATGTTAGGAAGGAAGAAGAAAGAAGATAAGGAATGGATCTCGATGGACACATGGAAGCTGATAGAGGAGAGGAGGATGGTTAGGAAGAAAGTAAACCAGCGCAAGGATGAACAACGATAAGAGGAATGAACACAACCTATAAAACACTACACTGGACAAAGAAGTGAAGAAGAGTGCGCGGAAAGACAAAAGACACTTCCACGACACATTGGCAAGTGAAGCAGAACAGGCTGTTGGTAGGAGGGATAGAGACCTGACAACATTGTATCAAATAACCAGGTTACTATCCATCTGGGAGAGAAGAGATCAACACATATGAAACCAATAACAGATGATGAAGGAAATGCAATTATCAAGGAGGCGAAACAAAGGAAACAATGGGCT